TGGGTATAATTTTTTTTTTTTTTTTTTTTTTTGTGGTACCGGGGATTGAACTCGGGTCCTTGAGCTTGCAAGGCAGGCCACCGAACTGCTGAGCTAAATCCCCAGCCCACTGCCGATAATTTTAATGTTAGAATTACTGACTTGGAAGTGTGTTGTCCAGAAAACATGAAATTAAAAATCAAGGAAAAATTATGAAAAAATTAAAAGAACCTATGGTTGAACTATTTACATTCTTAAAACTGGTCCCTAGGACTTAATCTAAGTTTCAGTTTTGAGGACCATTGTCTAAGAGGAAATTAAATACTAAGAACTCTATTTTGAAGACAAATAAAAATGTTGTTGTCAGTTCTATTTTATTTTTTCAACAAAATGTATAGTCTCATAATGATTTTTATCACTTTTAAGATGCACATTTACCATATTTTAATATCTGTGAAACTGGGTAAAAAGGTCGGTGATGATTGACCTGTGTGGAGTTTTGAAACTACTGAGGTGAAGAAAATTCAGCCAAGGCCACAGATTTTTACAATAGAGCATCAAGGCTTATGACTTGAGAAGTAAAATAAACACTTTGGAACACAATTTGGATAACAGTGGAGAGTTAATCAGCAGATAATGAGATTGAAGCGGAAAGACAGAATTTTTTGACCAAAGACATAAGAAAATGGAGGAAAGGAGTAATCAAATCTATTTTCCAGGGACTCTACCTTCAGTCAGCAAGGCCATAGTTATCAAATGCATAAGAGGGCTGGAGGTAAGAAGGAGACAATAAGGAATTTGATTTTAGGTGTTGTGGTAGGCAAAATCATGGTTCCCAAAGATGCCCACCTCCAGTCAACCTATTTGGGAGTACCATTATGATGGCAATGATGGTGAAGATTATGGTCCTACCAGCTCAGTGATAATAACAACCATTTACAAACACTCCTGAGCAATTATATGTGTCAGGCAGTGCTGAGGCCTTTTTGTCCATTGTCTAATTTGAACCTCTCTTCAAGGTAGATTGTACATTTAGGGTTAGGTCTATTTAACAGAACCTTAAAAATACCCACGCGGTCTGGCCTGTGCCACACAGGTGGTACGTGATGAGACACAAGCAGGCTAAACATACACCAAGGGACCCAACCAGCTGCCTCTGCAGTGGGTCTGGCAATGGGATAGAGGTAACTAATGAGTAATTTTACAAGTGAAAGACAGTGAGTTTAGGCAATTAATGCTTATTTAACTTTTTTTTCCCTTGAAGTGAGCGGTGCAAATTAAGTAAGATCTGGCCTGTCTTCTGATTTCTGTGTATAGCAGGAAGGAAAATATGTGAAAACTTTAAAAGAAATTCTACTGTTGAGCTGTTTGATTTGTTTATTTGGGAAAGCGTTTGAATACTGTAACCTGTTAAGTCATCCTTACAAGGGACGTGAACCAAAATGGAATTACTAAAAATACTGTTGAACTGGGAGTCCAGCTGGAAAGGAATTTGTAATTTTTTGTGACTTCCTATAGGGAGCAGAAATAACCAGTGACCTGGAAATGCTCAGCTAAATTGTAGAGACACTACCACTCTAAATTCAAGAGTCCTCTAACATTTACATGTATTCACAAATTCCCTTAAAATCATATAAGGCCCTGTAGTAGACTCACAGCTAGTTCAGGAATACAGGTTTCCACTGAACCCCATACTTGCGTAGGTCGTGTGAAACCAAGATTGATTTTAGTCCCACAATTTTATGTACGTTGCCATTAGATTCCTGTTTTGTGCTAAAGACACAAAACCTGGGATTCAGTTGAAACTTGCCCTAAAGTTTGTTAAGCACCACTTCTGAGCCTGCACTAATGTTAGCTGTCTTCTATTTTATAAGCATGGGATTGTGCTATAATATATAGTTCCTCTTTGTTCTTTGTTTATCCACGTATAGTAAAATATACAATTATGAAATATATTGACATAGAATATTAGACTTATGAGCAGGTACCAGAGCTGTTTTGTATGCCTGTCAGTGGAATGAGGTAAGTGCCCAAGGTCATAGTGAAATTTTCTTAAAGTCGATGAGATACATTTCATTTTTAAAAAGCGAAAATAAAGACATTAAGGAAGTTGGTCATCAAGGATATTCTAGTAAACCACTGAATACCATAAGTTAGATTTTTATAAATAATAAGTGGGTTCTATTTCATTCTAACATTTGACCCATGGGTTATTTGTAAATGTTGACCTCTTTGATTCATTATTGCCTCGATGAGGAAGAGTAAATTTCACTGCAGCAAAACAAGATTTGTAAAAACTTCAATAATAGTGACCCTTTACAGAAGGTAACATCTCAGAATTTATGATTTATAGTATAATTTATTAACTTCTGAATATTAGCTTTGGGGAATGTAAATCCCTGAGATGTTAAGATGAATCATTCAATCATAACTAATGGAAAGACCCCAAATGTAATTTAATTTGATAGATAAGATTGTGAAATCATGTTATATAGACATTTGCCGCTTTTATCTGAGGAAATATCATGTTTGGAAGTTTGCCCTATTTGTCTACATTATCACTTAAGTCTCTCCCAAGGGTTTTTAATAAGACACTACTTTTTTCCATAAATGGTCTAGGTTTCAGTGGATGCTGCCCATGGGTACAGCCCCCGAGCCATTGACATGAGTAATGTTACACTATCTAGAGACCTGCATGTAAGTAATGTTTTAAAAGTACTTTCAAATGTCATGTTTAAAAGACACACTATAACACTCTCCTGCATGTATTTTGCGGCATGAATTATTTTAATACCAAGATTGTATGGGTTCATGGAGTTCATAGCTGTTATGTACCCTTACCTTTTATACCTAAAGCTTGATACAGATAACCCCACTTATGTATGGTTTCACCTTAGTCAGGCTTAACTGTGGTCTGAGATATTATGTGAAAATTTCAGAAATAACTCGTAAATTATAAATTGTGGTCCATTTTAAGTCATAGAATGAAACTTCCTACTATCCTGCTCTGTCCCAACCTGGATGTGAATCATCCTTTTTTTCTAGTGTGTGCAGGCTGTATACACCATCTGCCCCATGTTAATTTAGTAGCTGTCTGGGTTATCAGCTCACCTGGCATTGGATCACATTTCTTGGGTTCAGGTAATCCTTATTTGTTCAATAAAGGCCCCAAAGCACAAGAGTAGTGGTACAGGGTAGGGGCCGGGGCATAAAACAAGGAAGAACAGATTAACTCTGGTGCTATGTGACTGGTATACTGGAAAAGATGATATATAAAGGATTTAGTAGTAGCAGAGATTTCAAGGGTCCACTGCTATGTGTCTCCCAAGATAAAGCGGACTGTACATCTTTTTCTAGGCTGTTTCCTCACATATTTTCCTTAAAGAAAATACCCATTTAGAAAATTATAACATAATTAGTTGTGTGAGAGTAAATAAACCATAATGGTCTTTTCAAGGATCACTTCAAGTAATCATTAAAGATTGTATATATTTTAGACAACTTATTTGGAGAAATTGGCGACATTTTGCTTGTACCATACACAGTCTGTTTTCCTCTGTTGATGAGGCACCTACTTTGCAACAAATGGGTGATTTAAATGAAAGATAAATTTTGACTCCATAAAACAAAGTAACAGGTTAAGACGACACAATTAAAGCAGTGCTGTTAGCATCATCCGGAGACATAGAAGTACAAATATAAATAGTGTGTACTGTGTAATTGTTTGGTTTCCCCTTTGGTAAGAGCAATACCTAGAGAAGAATTATAGGAATGTGTTAATATTACAGCAAGTCTGAACACCCACAAGAAGAGTAATAGAGGTAATCTTATCAGGTTCATAAGGCCACAGAGGGTCATGTGGCTTGCTACAGATCTGCTGCTTGACTGGGACAGAGAAATGTCCTGGAAGCCAAATCTTTGTCTAATGTTCTTTGCATTCAGTGTTTAATGAGGTTTAGATAATATTTGGAAGCTTTGGAAGTCAAAATAAGAACTTATAAGTTTATTTTGTGGTAAAATCCATAGCTATTTTGAAATTTCATGATCAAATGAAGAAAATATATGTATATAAACATGAGCAATAACCTTTTATCAAAACACTTGATTTTTATTTACTGTGCAATATCAAAAATGATTACAATTCTCTACACTTGAAATTCCAAATAAGAGAGTTGTGTTTGATTAGCTTTCAGATATATTTTAGCACTACTAGGATGTTTCAAAATTGCATATTAGAAAGCAGAGATATACTTTTTCAATCATTGAAGTTGAAGTTGGCTTCTAAATATTTGATTCATTTCAGGCTATGGCAGAAATGATGGCTGAAAACTACCATAATATATGGGCAAAGAAAAAGAAATTGGAGTTGGAATCCAAAGGTAATATTTTCTAAAAATCCTTATTAAAATCCATCAAGGGCTGACTATAGAAGTGTGAAAAGTAGGGATGAGATAATAATTCTTTTCAGTACAAAAACTCATTATTTCTTGATTTTATTAGAATGTTTCAGATGTACCTGTACCAGATTAAGGGTGGAAATTCTGTAATTTCCTGACATCTAGTGTACATTGCCTTGTGTCTCAGAATTTGTATGGCTCTCTTTTACTCCTTTCAGCAAGCAGGTATCTGTACCTATAATCGTATCCAAGTATCAGGTAGTAGGAAGATCTCCCTCCTGACTTTCACCTCCAACTTAAGTATTTATTTCATTTCTGTTTATTTCCTGTCCCAGCCTCTTTTTTTTTCTCAGCATCTTTTATCTAGTTATGTTGCTTTCTCTTACATGATTGTAGCTGTTCTTTTTTCTTTTTTAAAGTCGTAAGATCGTGTATTAACTGCTTATGAAATATTTTCTTGACTGCATAAGTACATTCTTCAATTTAATGCATTCTACACTGATTTCTTTCGTTGTTTATGTGGCATTAGTCTGTACATGTGTGTGTGTGTCTTTATGCACATGTGCGTGTGTATGTGTGTGAAGGAAACACTAAACAAAATCAGTGCTAAAGGTACACAGTTTCTCATTTTCAGCCACTCTGACCTCTCTGTCGTCCTTCAGCCATTTGCAGAAGAGCAATCTGCTTTAGAAAAATCTACAAAAAAAATCCCTGTTTGCTTGCTCTGCTCATCTGGGCTTCAGTATTCTCTCAGTTCACTGGCAGAATCCAGGAAAGTGTGAGACAGGTCATATATTATAAGGAGAACATCCATCATTAATGGAAAGGGAGGAGCAAGTGTCTAAAAAATAGAAGAACCCCCAGATTAGTGAAAAAAGTCAAGAGCTAGCTTTCCTTTTTCTCCATCTTTCCTCACCACCACGTCGAGTATTTTGTGCTGTGGTGACCTGTCATTTAACCAAAGGCGGCTCTAGGGTTAAGCTTTCTTTATCTTTTTATATGAATGAGTTTGTACGCCAGTGCTAATATGTTGGAAGCGGCATCTAGTAATGACTGTATGCTCATTTATCTCCATTTAGCTAGCTCCCCTCTGCAAAGACACCTTCACGCCCAATTCAAATGGGAAAATGGAGGTTGGAGGAGCAAGGTGAATTCCCCACAATCACTCTTTATGCCAGAGGCCTAAGTTGTGGTTTGCTGACTGACTTCAAAGAATGTATCTGCCTGGGCCTGGGATTTAGCTCAGCAGGTCCGCTGCCTGCCTTGTAAGCGTTTGATCCCCGGTACCAAAAAAAAAAAAGAAAAAAGAAAAAAAAAAGAAAGAAATATATCTGCCTGTCTAGTTCAGGGGAGGTCTAATAATGTCAGAGTCAGAGGTACTTTGGGTTCTTGGGATTTTAAAATTATAGATATTATTCTTTTTCACTCACTGCTGCTCTTTCCACCTCCCCTAGAGTAACATCTTGATTTCTGACCCCAGGATCACTGTATTATAGACTTGGTGGCCAAATAAATACAGTTCTGTAGAGCTAAATGCAATAGTGAAGCTCAAAATAGGTGATTATTGATTAGAATGATTCCATTAGATGGTCAGTTACATTTTCTCATAAAATCTCTCCGTAAATTACCGTTTGATTACAGCAGAAGTCATTTCAGGAGTCAGTTTGGTTCCCAGTGGACTCAGTAACACCTTCTGTGTCCGCCCAACGTTTACAGAATGTTTGTTACTGTTACCCTCTGACAACGGTATTACATATCATAATGTTAATATTATGCTAGGAATAACTGTGGTTCCTTAATGGGCATAGCGTTTGGTTGTGCTGACCTGTCCCCTTGCATCTAGTGTTCGTGAAGTTCAGCGAGTGATTGTGTATCTGTAGGTGGCCCTCAGGCAAAGCCAGCCCTCAGGAAAACAGCACTATCTCCTTTGCAGTGTTGCTGGTTTATTAACATCTAGAAAGGCAAATTCACCCTTCATGATTGTTCTAGTAACTTTACTTAAACTACTTTGGAAACTAATTTAATAGACTGTAATCTGTTATTATAGTTTTTAAAAAATGTTTATTTTTCTTTTGTTTTTCTCAAACTTCCTTAGCAGTTGTAATTTAGGGCAAATCAGCATCCCATACAATATATATTACTATGTATGTTTTATAAATTTTAAATCTCAAACTCTTCACTTTGCTGTTACTTTAATAGCGTTCTTTGTATCAGATCATTGTACTTAAAATTAATGGTACATTTAAAAATATTTTATAGCATTTAGATTTTAAAATGTGTCATTTATGTTTTTCTCCTCATTCATTTTTAAAATTTAGATACTTTCTAGTATTTTTAATCTAAAACAATACAATATGCTTAGTATTATTCATCATAATAGCTATGCTAGAAGTCCATACTCTTGCTAGTAATTACTTGCTGAAACTTTTAAATCAGCCAAATATTAGGTACTAAAGAGTGATCCATTTTAATTTGATAAAACTATGGTTTTTTGTGTATTTATAAATATGTGATATTAAGTGTTTTCAGACCTAGGATAAATAATAAATATTCTTCATTGAGAGTTTTCTTTGTTTTTACTCTCCAGGGTAGGAAATGAAACATTACCCCTGAAACCTACCTTACAGTTTTCCTAGATATAACTCTGAGCATTTCAGTGTTTATTTTCACTCCCCACACTTAGAATTTGTTTGAACAGAGAAAAGTGTGAAGCTGTTGTTCCCTTTTTGGTGACTGCAGATGTGACTGGTGCTTGATATTGTGACTGCATACAGCACACTGATATGGTGAATGTTTAAATTTTAAAACTTATTACAGTAAAAGGCACATTGCTTTAAGTCCTTCCCCCTTGCTCTAAGTGCACTTATCCCACTGTCTTTGCCACTTTCTGAACAGTTATAGGAAGAGTTTTTTGTGAGTGTCTTTACAAGGTATGATAAAAAGTGTGGTGTATGTTGCTACCCAGTGCTGTCCAACAGAAAGACAGGCTCTTTTTTGGTTGTTGTTTTTTTGAGACAGGGTCTCACTATGTAGTTGAGACTGACGTGGAGCTCACTATGTAGCCCAGGCTGGTCTTGAACTCACAGGGATCCTCCTGCCTCAGCCTCCCGAGTGCTGGTATTACAGGCATGCACCACCACGCCCAGCAGAAAGACAGGGTCTTAAAAACAGCAGTATGTTGTGTGTTGTGTGTTGTGTGTTGTCATTTATCTCATTCACCAGATCTGCCTCTTTCCCAAAGTCATTTTGACTTATGAAACGATACTTACGAAAGAGGACTTCCAGAACCTTTTCAGAAAGTAGCAAGAAGGATGGGCTAAGTATGTTTGAAGAAACTGAAGTATTTTGAGGAGGGCTAATTGCAATGTGCCTTTTACTGTAATGCACTTTTTAATTTAAACATTCATGGTATGTTTTGGTCACACCTCATACATTCACGTTTTAAACACCTATTAGCAGATATGTGTGCAGTCTTTCTTTGAATAGGCTTTCTGAATTAATTAAAGCACTAAAGACCCTAGAGGGATGAGTCACATATGAGTCTTATACGTTCTATGTATCATTAGACATCAGAAGTTCTTCCATGAGGTTCTCTGTGCTACAGCTCACCTCAGATTACGTTGTATTCCTGTCTGGATGTTCTCTTAGGAGGTGGAAATCATCCCCTGCTGGTGCCCTATGACACGCTGACAGCCAAAGAGAAAGCCAAGGACAGGGAAAAGGCACAGGACATCCTCAAGTTCCTGCAGATAAATGGATACATGGTATCCAGGTAGATGTATACCTGCTCCACATTCTTTTATATTTAAATACCCTCGCCAGTTGGAAGCTTAAGAGGCATTTAGCAGTTTAAACCTTGGAGTTACTGTTTAATGTGTTCAGAATTCACACAGGTTGTAATTATTAATGCCGTTAGCAACCGTTTTTCACATAACCGAGTCCCTGCTTCTTCTTATATTAAGTTACCATCCATCATTTTGGCAAAATAACTAGGCAAAAAAATCATACCCTGTTCTCATAAAAGCACCACGTTACTGCACAGTGATGGTGTTAAATTCACTCTTAGCTCTGATAGGTTATATCAGAAACAAAGTCTTCCTTATGAGTTAAATATCATTTTTGCCTTGAACTATAAGAATATTGGATAATTTCCAAAATGTTAGAGTACGTATGCTTTAAATAAAATTTTGCCTCCTAAGAAATGTTGTATACATTGGTTTTTGTGTTTCCCTTTTTTCTGGTCAAGAGGATTCAAGGACCTGGAATTGGACACACCTTCCATTGAGAAACGATTTGCATACAGTTTCCTCCAACAGCTCATCCGCTATGTGGATGAGGCCCATCAGTATATCCTGGAGTTTGGTGAGTATCTGGGCCATATTGCTTATAGCCTGGATTTTGTTGTTCTTAATGTTCACAGAGAAGAGAGCAGCACAGATTAAGGGACTGTTTCCTTTTTGTCCTTCCTGATACTGAATCCAACAGCCAAGAGACAAACAAGTTGCTCACGAATGAGTGAAGTCTACGAACTTTAAAGAAATCTAACAGTGCAATACTTTTTTTTTTGTTTTTGTAATGTGAATTGGCATTACCTTTTTATTTTAGAAGATGCTTTAGAAGGACATTAAAAGTTTTAGTAGAGTAAAATCTCCTACGAAATTAATCTCTCTACCCAGGAAAAAGAAAACTCTAAAACTCAAGAGATGTTCAAAATTTCTAAGCAGTATAAGGCCCTGAGTTTAACTCTTGTGTAGACTTCCAGGTGTAGCATGAGTGCTTGCGGGGCAGAATTCTTAATTGTGAAAGGCCTCCTTCCCATCTGGCCAGTACCGCTTGCCACACCGAACTCCTGACTTTAAGTCTTAGCTAGAACAGAGTACCATGGATGGCAGCCTTCTCTCACCCCGATCTATTTCAGTGGGCTTTGTGAAAGACTCCAAGTGTTAATCACTGGCCCTCCTGTCAGACGGCCTGCCAGCCCCTGAGTGTGGTCATCAGTCTAAGAAGTCAGTTCATCCCTTTTGGAGAACAGTGACTCTTGATGGCATCCTTTTATCTTTCTTTTTACTCTTGAGGTTTTGTTTTGTTTTTATTTTTAATGCTCATGCCTTCTGTCATTGAACACCTTGCCTCTGGGCCCAGCATCCTTAATCCCGTAGCTGCTGTTTTTCTTAGGGTTTAAATTCAGTTCTAGCTCAGCTTCAGATTAAAGTTTGTAAAAATTTGAGCTCTGGTATTTCTTGCTCCTGGACTCCTGCATCTTAAATGTGATTAAAGATTTTGCTTTTGCTTCCCTAAAGAATGAAAAGAATCATACCATAGTGATATAGGTGCACCCATGTTCATAGCAGCACAATTTATAATAGCTGAAACTTGGAAGCAGCCCAATTGCCCATCAATGGGAGACTGGATAAAGACAATGGGGATAAAGAAGACTGATAAAGAATTTTTTTTTTTTTTTGTACTGGGGATTGAACTCGGGACCTCACACTTGCAAGGCATGTGCTGGCACCACTGAGCTAAATCTCCAGCCCTGAAGAAAGCATTTTTTTAATGGAATACCACTCAGCCAGAAAAAATGAGAAATTAGAGACATAGCTAACTGGATGCACATTGAGGCGATACTCTTAAGTGATATAAATAGGACACATGTGTAAATACTGAGCAGTTTCTCTGGTGTGAGAAACTGGAAGTGTAAATAAGGACTAAAAGGTATAATAGATGATGTGAAGTAGGAAGAAAAGGGATGAAGAGGAAGGGGAACTGGGAGTGGTAGGGGAAAGGAAAGAAGGGAATGGAATTAATATGAGAAAATGAAAAATAATGGAAACAGATTCCATAGATAGGGAGGGCAGGGGAATGGGGAAAAATAAGAGCCAAGATTGATTATGTAAAAATACAAATTTTCAACAATGAATTCTATACTTTAAATGTACCAGTAAAGCTAATTTTAAAATGGTTTTGCAGTTTAGCATCATTTTCATAAACCACTGTACTCTCTTCCAACCAGCATCTTTTACAATCTAAATACTATTGTTTTCTCTCTTCTCCATCATCTGACTTTACAAACTTAATTATGGCACATCATCTCTCTGTAACTCATGTAACTGTAATTTTCCAGAATAGACCAACAAGTAGCCAGTTTAGTCTATACTAATGAAATTCAGTGCAAGAAGAGAAAGGAGGCAGTGGTGAAGATGTGACATTTTAATGCTCAAAGTTGAATATTGAAATTTCACATCTCCATTGTAAAGGATCTGATAATAGGAATCTACCCCAAGATCCAGTCTTCTTTTTAGCAAGGTAGGAGAGATAAGAAAGGAAAAAAAAACAATAATTATTTGGAGAAGAGAAGAATAAAATTATTATTATTTTTGTCTGCATGTGGAGAGTGGAAACACACATTTGAAGGGTGACGATTTGTTTATTATTCCTACTTTATTCGAATTTCTGAATAAACTAATCCCACACAGTGGGTGCAGGGACTGGTGAGAATCCTGCTCCAAGGCAAATTCACCTATGTGGTACATTTCGTTCTTTCCCCAGGGTAGAAGGTCTTATAAACAGAATGTTAGGGAAAAATAAGCTACAACGTTTGAGCCCAAGAAAATAACATTGTTTTAGTTTATGAAATTGCATGTGTCTTTTTCAATTAGTCCAACTACAAGAATTTTTTACACGAATAGGTAGAGCTGAGATAGTGCCATCATTGTTACTAAAAACAAAACTGCCTTATTGCCGTCCCTTTGTCTTTGACTTTACTGACTTGCAGCATCTCTGTAATTTACTCATTTTAGATCTCACCTAGTCGTAATAGCAAGAACATGCTATGCTTCTAATGTTTTTTACAGTATTCTCTTTAATTCCTTTGCACATAAGCATTTTTGTTAATGAAAGGGATTATATTTCTTATATTTAATTCACTGGAATAATAGCAGATTTGGCTGTGCACAAAATTCTATTTTGACATGTTTTATGCACGAACCTCCCTTAGAAGGATCTAGCTATTTTGCTTATTGTGTTTGAGAGAACTTTAATGCCAAGGTAATACAAAAGTGAAATGTGAAGTGAAAAAAAAAATCATCACTTTCTTTTACATATTTGTGGCAAGAACATTGTTCTGTTATTACAAAACAGTGCCTGTCTTTCCTAAAAATTGTCTTGAATTTATGTCTAAGATTTGATAAAATATGCTTTGTTATTTCTAGTTGCAAAATAAGTTTTTCAAGGAGAAGTCAGTTACATTCTTATAAAATCGTATATCCAAATCTGAATTTTTAGTGCTCCAATACATTTTGCCTAACAGCTTGATTATTATAGTGTATTTTTACCTCTTCTGTATGCATGAAACCTCTTCTGTATGCATGAAGGAGGTAGGAAAGGCCACCTTGTAAACTGAATACATTAGGTCAATCAATTTGCAACCTTGCATTGTGTTAAAAACCATGGGGAAAATGTGAGTGGTTTTTCTTTACTTATGGAAATTATCTTTTGACATAGGTCAGAACTTCTTTATCTTACATAAAATGCTAACTTTGCAGCTTCATATTAAAAGTGCTATGCTCCTACTCATCACAGGCCCTGCTTCCTGTAAGTTTTTAGTTGGTATGTTAAAATCAGAAGCCTTTACTTTCAGTCACACTAGGAGGTAACATCTTTGTCAGTGACCACAGTTAAAACCTTACCAGTTGTGTGTACTTCGTTTGCGGTTATTTTTCTCACCTTGGTGAGCCTTCATTCTCCAAGGCTACTGAAAAGGTGAAAATGTACGGTTTAGACTTTATTCCAATTTCCCCCCTGACATATCCTTAGGATGTCCAGGCTGCACAAAAGTGTATTCATGTTATGTTATAAATACGAGCTATCTGCACTAGCATTTTCATTTAGATTTGAATATTTTTCACAATCTTTTCAATTGCTGTGTCAAATTTATCCTTTATATTTGCTGTTGGCTTTTTATTTTCTATGAAGTGGGATGATATATCTAGCACTACAGTGTAAACTTTGCGTTCTGGGTTATCTTGTAATGTCTGAAGTACAACATGTACTTAACATCTCTGTCTGTCTATAGATGGTGGCAGCAGAAGCAAAGGACAGCATTTCCCTTACGAACAAGAAATCAAGTTCTTTGCCAAAGTACGGTATACAATTCATCTTGTTTCTGTTTCAATGTGTGTGTTCGCAAAATGCGCTCATTAGATCGTCGCTTCTTTTCAAAATGTTCTTGTCTATAAATGTGAATTCCACTAAGTAAATGTTCTGTGGCACAAAAAGAACCTCGTGAATCCAGCAGGAGGAATTTCCTGCCAGCATATTTGGTCACAATTCAACTAAATCAGCTCTTTCTACCCTGTCTTCAGACAGTTAGTTCTAGTGCAAGTCTAAGTGTAATTTCTGTTTTTCTTTTTTTTTTAACTTTCTCATATGACACAGAGAAAAATATGTATTAACATTTTAATATTGGCATAATTTACCAGTTTTAAATGAGCATTTCTTTTCTAAGGAGAAGAAGCATTAGCTAATTCATAAACTGATATATTACTAGAACATTTACTGTAGAATCTGTGCTGCTGGACTTTAGTCCTATTCATTTTATAGACGAGAAAGTGAGGCTTAAAGTGATTAAATTCCTCATATACAAACTACATTCTATTATTATCCATTCTCTTTAATAAGGATCTAGCAGGGATTTGCTGTGTTATTGGAACAGTCATCACTTCCTTTGAGCCACAAAGGGAGGACACAGCATTGGAATGTCTCCACACTGGGCCCCTGCACTCCCTCAGCACTTACTGTATCCCGGTCTGCTTCAGGTAGCAGACTCTAGCCTGGGGATTGTTAAGAAAAGCGATTTCCTGACTAAGCATTCCTGTTTACACTACCTTGGACCTCATTTTTGCTGTCAGTTTTCTTTGGCTATTAGTACAGATAATTTACTATACGCACAACGCATATACTTTAAAATGGCATGCTTCTTGGTTAATATTTGGCTTCTGTTTGTACTTTTACAGTTTTACCCTTCATATAAAGATTTATCTTTTCTTTCCAACTCGACAGAGAGAGCACTGAGTCTGTTCCAATCATGCAAAGATTTGGTTCATCCTGGGTTGCACAATGTTGATAACAGGCAGATAGATAAATCAGTTGATCAATCTCCACTTCCTATTAGATTATAATCCCCCTTGATAGCAAGTTATCAGAATACTGTATTCATGGCCTCTAATATAGCCTTAAAATACATTCTCGCTTTTCCTACGTTTTTTATAAATGCTTAATGTAGTTTAATTTCTACTAAGTCTATATTTCATTCAGTCATCATATTTATTGAGTACCTACTATATGCCAACCATTAAATTCAGGCAGCGCCACAACTTTCAAGGAAGATAGATAAACCTTGCATATTCCTTATTCTCTGTAATTGTGCTATACCACACGGTAGAAAAAGTCCTTATTTAGACAGAATTGAGTTTGAATACTGATAATGCCATCATTATTTTTTTAGTTTATTCACTGAAAATATATTTTTCTAGTGCTTGCTATAGGCCCAGCACACCTCTACACATTAGAGATTCTTTGGTAAACAAAATAGGCCAAGTAACAATTCTCTATGCCAAGAAAGAACCTCAGTGGAAATCAAACTCTAAATTAGTCTTGGTTTCTTATAGTTTATGGTCTCTTCGGAAGAGAAACTTTAAAGTTTTACATGTATAAAATATAAATTTGGCAAAGATGTTAGAATATAGGATTTTAACTAGTTGAGGAGGCCTGCAGAGTCTTCTCTGATGAAGTTCTCCTGAGCTGAGATCTGCAGGAAGAGTAAAATAAATCGTTTTTGGAGAGCAGGAAGAGCATTACAGTCAGAGGGGTTATGCAAAGACAAATGGCAGGAGTGCCCAGAGCAGGGAGGAGAAGTTGGCCTGAAGCCTGCAGGATTAAATGTGCAGAAATAGGACTTTGGAGCCAGGTGTCATGGCACATGGCTGTAATCCCAGCACTTGGAAGGCCCAGGCAGGAGGATCGCTGTGAGTTCCAGGTCTGCCTGGACTACATAGAGAGTTTCCGTCTAGCCTGAGCTACGTAGTGAGACCTTGCTGGAAAAAGAAAAGAAAAGAAAAGAAAAAGAAAAAAAAAGAAAGAAGAAGAAAAGGAAGAAAGAAAGATTTGGGATGTTAGCTTTGAGAAAGCCAGGTGAGAAGAATGTTGTTCAGGGTGTGTCTCTCACTCCACCTCCACATAGTACTGGTAAAGCGAGGACGACAACCTCCGTATTCAGTTTCCAGGACAAGAAGTTGGTGCTGTGTTCATTGCAGTCCTGACAGTTAATGCTTATTCAGTATATGGTGATCATGGATTATTTTGGAGCCTGCTGGGTGTTGAACTACACTGTATGAAAATACTGAGAATATCTCATTTGGAGAGAAATTTCAAGCTGTTGAAAATCTACTCTGTGCCACATGGTCACTTCCCACCACATCCAACTCCCCGTCCCCACATGGCACACGCACATAGGACAGAGAGGCCACAGGGAGGCAGAGAGAGGCACGCTCTGACATGGTGAGGAGCCAGGACCTGTGGCATGTGGACGGGACCCTGCTTGCTGTGAGCCTTTGCTCTTGTCCGTCCCCAGCTGGAGTCCACTCTGTAGATCTCTCTTCTTTTTCTTTCTTTCAGGTTGTTCTTCCTTTAATTGATCAGTATTTCAAAAACCATCGTTTATACTTCTTATCTGCAGCAAGCAGACCTCTCTGCTCTGGAGGACATGCATCAAACAAAGAGAAAGAGATGGTGACTAGGTAAAGAGCTTGTGCGGGGCTTGTGTGTATGCATTTGGGGCAGAGAAACCACAGTAGGGCTGTGAGCAGAGGCCCCTCCCATGGCTTCTAGTCTCTGACCTATTGACATCCAACACTGGATGAGGAGAGTTTTTCTAACTTAAGACATGTGTGCTAGATGTCATACTTCTTTATTCCTTGCTGTTAACTGCGTTGCCGAAGAGGAGAAAGAAAATGTACAAAGCGGAATCCACAATTAGAAGGCCATGGAGGCATCACCAATGTTAGTCTCTGCGAAACAGGATGCTTTTAGCATTGATTTCTTTAACATTTCTAGAAATCTAATGCAGCTTTTACTTTTCAGTTAGACAAAAATCCCACTTACACACATTTTAATGACGCAGAAATTTTAATGACCCATCTTGGAAAATACAGAAATAAAAAATATACTTTCTGACGTTTCCCCTCTTGACACTTAAGCTCAATCTTACAAGTGCCTGCTCATTTGTGTTTAAACTTAGCATTTTTTCTGTATATTTTTTTTTTCAAATTCTGTTGGGGATTTGGTATTTGTTTCCTCAAAGCTCTGCTAGAACTTACTGCACATGAGAACTGATTACTGAGCATATCTGCCTATATATTATTGCACTGCTCAAAAGCCGTAGCAGACTTTTAAGAATGCATATGAATGAAATGAAACTTCTATAAAAGTGAGCAAAGTCTATAAATCAGAACACTGGAGAAACTGCAGGATACCCTTGGCCTTGACTTCAATGCTGTGCTGGGTGGGGGTGCTTTGTCAACCTACTGGTGAGGGTGACAAGAAATGGAAAAAGTCCATCACCGGAAGATGGAGAATAAATAGGAGCCCTGCATTATGTAACGTGGGAGGGAGCAGCCAGGAGGTGACTTTCTGCTCATTTCTTCAATTTGTTATCTATTCCACCAGCTGGTCAGTGGCCAGTCATGTGATGCAGGATTGCAGCAGCGCTAGAAATGTCCTTAGACCCCCTCAAATACTTTTCCTATGAAGCGGATAAAATGGATCGCAGGGAAAACAACAGACGTGATTCATTGCAGTGGCGCATTCTGTTTCCAAAACCTGTTACAGGATAGAGAAGACATGCCCCGCCCCTTTCCCCACCCACTTGGGCGTGGGCTTTGTTCCCACCTTCCCTTGAAGGGAGAGAAGCCTGCCCGAAGTATTTCTTGAGCACGCTCATTCCCTTCTTTGGGCCACCATCCCTGAGGTCCATGAGCACGGAGAGTAGCAAGGAAACCCGGAGGCACCAAGTTCCCAGTACACATCCACATGAAACCCAGGAGGTTGAGAAGTCTTCTGTTCTTCCTGGGACTGTTAGCCTTTTGTGATTGAAACTTTGTTCCCGGAGGAGGGTGTTGTGAATTTAGATGTCACTTGATTAAATAAATCAAGAGAAAATACAACCAGAGAAAATCGGGGAAAATGCAGATAAATTGGTACAAATTCTGCTGTCTTTTCTCTCATATTTTATTATCTCCATTCAGTGTCTGACTTATCCTCCAAATTTTCACCGACCACAAATATACATGTATGAAAACATCAATTTGTACACCCACATTATACACAATTTTATTTGTTAATTATACATAAGAATTGGAAAAAATTCACAGAACTATACACTGAAAAAATTAGCTTATTTTCCATTACCATTTCTGAACCCCTCGTTGAATAAGTCTGAAAAATTCTGTGCTGTTCTGTGCTAGCCTCAAGTGACATAATTTTGAGGCCCAAGACTGACCCTATATGTTTCCTCTCTATGATGACAATGCACAAAAGTGTTTTTAATGATATTATCTTCAGTTTTACTTCACCAAATAGAAAGAGGGTTGGTAAATTTTAGTTTCCCAATTAGCATTTCCAAAAAAAGAACATATGCCGTTTAAAATTCCAAGAGATAGAAATGAGATGAATATAGAATTAACTAATTTCCAGATAATATATTAGTGTCAAATAGGAACAAATATGTTAAAACGTCCAGTAATACTATTAAAATACAAAAACCAACTCAATAATTTGACACACTGAAATGGAACCATTGAAATTTATAAATGTCTGATTTGTTACTGCTGGAATTTGGTATTACAACTTAAGTGAATAAAATAGGTAAAAAATAAAGTCAAATAGACAAAACCTGATAAAATAAGTAAAAAACTGCCTGTCTACTATGAATAAAGGTATATGTTTAAACATGCACTGTAGTGATAGTTTTAGTTGGGAGTAGCAATTTTAAGGGTCTAAAGTTAACTTTTACACAAAATCAAAATTGATGTTTCCATGAGCTGTTTAGCTATTTCCTGCTATAAGAAATGATGTATTGAGCATTACAGTGTCTGAAGTCAGCACTGTTTTGTCTGCAAAGAGTGGGATATGGTGCCTGTCCTGCTGGAAGGCACCTCATGGTAGCTAAATACCCAGATATGAATATAGTCACAATAGAAGAAAGCCCAGTGGTTCCCTGGGGTTCAAAGTCAAGTCCAACCACGTTGGATGGGTTTGGAGAATCTAAAGATTGTGGAAGCCATGCCTTACGAAGCTGATCACAGAGACATGTAAGTCAGAGATGGAAGGAGGGAATATTTTGCAGACAGTATGTAGCCGCACCAATAAAAGTGTAGGATCTGGTAATTTAGGAAAGCCACCTAGGTTGTAATGGATGCTAACTCTCAGAATAAGGCATCTCTTTCTTTCTTTTGAAAATTTAAAGTGTTGTTTTTAACTAATTCATTGGTACTAAGAAGCCACTGAAGCCTTTTAAGTTGGCAGGTGATCAGCATGGCCCTTCGGGAAGGACACCGTGGCAGCAGTAGGAGAGGAACAGGAGTGGTAGAGCTGTACATGGCAGGCTCTCAGGACCAGAGCAGCCACACAGGCTGTCACAGCAGAAGCGCCACCCTCTGGGTCATTCCGTGGACACTTAGGAGAGCCTGCCTTGCACAGCAAGACGACCTAGATCTGGGGATAAACACCCATACGAACACAGCTCCTAACCTTACTGAGCTTGAAAGTTCAATGAAGTAGATGCGTCCAAGTGGAGCTGACTGTACACGAAGGTGCGATGTGTGTCTGCAGAGATGGGCAGAGTCCTGAGTATAGGGAAGGGCTGTGATTGTAAGAGGGCGCCGAGTGTGGGAAACAGTCAGCGTGACTTGGCAGTAGCATGGCAGGCGGGAAGCAGTTCCTTGTGCTGAAGTTTTAGCTCTAGGTAGTTGGAACACTTTTGGTATTACTCACAAAAACGGCAGATTTCAGAAAAAGAGCCACTTTCCCGAAAAGGCTAGATTGATTAATGATCCATCGACATATTGGCAGAACATTCAGCCAGAATATTCAGCAGGAGGCTGCAAATGTGACTTTGGTTCTTTTGGAGAGATAAGGACAACAGTGACGAATTTAGGGGTGATCTGTGCATGGGTAACGCTTGAAGCGTGAAAGTTAAAAGAAACTGAAGGAGCCTGAAGCGAGATGTCAAACGGTCTTGCTACCAACCCATGAAGAATGATTACACTTCAAGGATTTTCAGATGAGGCATGATTAGAGAGGAAGGGAAAGAATATTGCTGTGAAACAAAATCCAAGGGAGGTAAGCGTTTTGAAGATTTAAGTATTCAAAAATATCAAGTAGTACAGATAGCTGTCCAAAAAATAGAATAAGAACAGGTTATTAAATTTGCTGATTGGGAGTACTGGTGACCTTCAAGGGAGTGTTTCCATGTGAGGCAATGAACAATACTGTTAGGAGTGTAATTGCCTTACAAATTCTGACAAATGTCAGGAAGAGCAGAGAAAGGGCCACAGTATTATGGAAAACATTTTTAGAGAAAGTATAGACTACAGTGTATAATAATAAAACTTCATAGTCTATACAAAAATTCTGCCCCCAAATGGATGGTCTGAGAGAGCCAAGTGATACAGTTTATCTTTTTTGTAGGACATAACTTTCTATGTCTGTATTTCTCCCCCATGGCACTTATAATTAAGAAGCAGCATATATTGTTAAGTCCTTTTTCCTGACAAATTCTTGCCATTAAATAGAATCTGATGGGATGAAATGCCGAAAAATTCTACACAAAACATCCTACATCTGAGTTAATAGGGTTAAACATACTCCCAGCATGATAAATCCAACAACATCGAAAACACCCAAGAATGTTGTGTTGTACTGAGTACCGCAGAGTAATAAGTAAAAGATGTCATCACTTAAAATAAATTGGAATACAGGGCTACAAAGTATGTACAGTTCTAAATGTGACTGCTCTCTGTAGAAGACACTTTTTTGTAGTTAGCACACAGTTGTCAACCAGAAAGCTCGCTCGTGGAAGAGGTTCCTGGAGAAAGCTGCTCTTGTTTTATTGTGTTTAATATACACATATTATATACATAGCATTAAATAATGCAAGTCAAGGATCTAGTGTCTTAATCTTCATCTAGTAGCTACTTGAATGGGTTATTATTTTTAAAGCTTTTCACTGTTATAAGAGGTTTGCCAAAACCTCAGCTTTACTTAGACATTTCTGGCTGTACACATTCTTGTAAAAACTACACAATACCCCATATCATTAACTTTAATCAATAAATTAATCCATATTGATATCAAAGTGGGGCATGATGGCCAAACTTACTGTAAGAGAGGTTGACCGCACACATAGGCCCCTCACACTGCCCTTTCTTTCTGCCTTGTCTTGGGTTGATTGCCTTCTCTTGCCTCTGTGGCTGGTCTGCAGCCCTAATATGGTGCTCTGGGAATTTGAGCATTGATGGTGATAAAGAGTTTCCCAAAACAGCCTACAAGAACAGGGCCAGTAGAGGTCTCCCTGTCCTCATTCTTGGGAAAAATCAAGCTGCGGTCAATGGGAATCACGAATGCTTCTTCAAGCGTATTGTACGGAGAAGCACTATCCAAGATACGCCTCTGCTCCTGAAAGCTCCGAAGTGTGGGTAGATGTGAAACTCATGGCGGTTATCATCAGGAGGATCACGTGTTGGGGTAGAAGATGGCCCCTGGCGTGAACAGGAAGGAGTGTCTTTCAGTGTGGTGTGGAAGTGGTGGTGGAGGTCCAGGTGTCAAAAATGCTGCAGCTGCTTCCTGAGGTGTGGGCAGAGTAGGAGGTAGTGGAACCTGGAGGGGATCCCTAAACAGAGGGACCTGTGGAAGCCTGCCTTCTGAACTGAGGCTTGGTGAAGAGACAGGCTTTTCAGACTCTCCGGTTTGGGAGTCTGAACTGAGAGGTGGCTGATTCAGGGCTCGGATGCTGACTGATGGGTACAGGTAATTGTTATCAGAATCTCCCATTGCCAGTTGCCTGGAAAGGCTTCCCAGAAACATATTCTGGAGGCGATAAGAAACATAATCATTTTCTTCATTAGCACGAAGAATCCTTTAAAGTATCGCATCTGTGCTTTCTTCTGAGTGATTATCAGAAATGGCTCAAATGCCATTTCTCCTTCACTGTGTCTGAATTCACTGGATGTCTGGTAAATGTGTAAGGTCTGAGATGGGGAAAGAAGGACATTTCGAGCAGCAAAGCACATGCAATTTAAAGTAAACTTTTATGCCCAAAGCACAATATTTCTCATGTTAAGTAATGTCCATAATTTTAAAAAAATCTAGAAATCCAGTGGAGTATTTGGGAAGATACAATTAAAGTTTTTCCTTATAGTTTTTCAGTAGTTATGCTCTTATGGGGTTCATATAGATTGCTTTTATATTAATTAGCTTTGCTTTCAATTTTTTTTTGTTTCTTTACTTATAATATGTGCTTTTTTAACCATGTTTGTTAAAGATACGCACTCAAAGACTCTTTCTTTAATACCTTTATTCCACATTCTGCTCAGAGAAGTGATTCTTTCTGCGTGACATCATGTTGCTTTTTTCCGGCTCATATATCAGCTGTTTTTTTTTCTTTTTTCTTTTTTTAATTTTAAAATTTTCTCCCTGTCTTTTCTACCTTCCCTTCCCCCTTCCCTTTTCTCTTTTGTTTTTCTTTTGTCTTCAGCCTATTCTGCAAACTTGGAGTTCTTGTCAGGCATAGGATTTCACTGTTTGGTAAGGAGACCCTTGGAAAAATGATTTGCATGGCTGGCACTTGGTTTTCTTTGCCATTCCGCACTGTGTTGTGTGCTGCGATGTTGCACGGCTGCATGTCTGCACGGCTGCACGGCTGCATGTGTGGTGTCACAGGCCGAGACAAGGTCTTTGAGGTTGTTGGTAAGCGTTATTTATGGTGATACGGGGCTCGGTGTCTTCTTTATCCTAGTCCAAAGAATAATTAAAAATCAAAAAGGCATGATGAATGAATGAAAACAGCAAGTTCTACCATATCTTATTTCAGAGGTAAAATCAATCAGGCTCTTGGATTTTATTTTTTTAATTTTTTCTAGATGAAATAACGAATTGTTGTAAATCAGAATTTTAAAATGCACTTTTTTAATGCTGTTGACTACTGATTTGCATGTTTACCGCATTCCAAACATGGGAGCTCCATAATCAAGATGGCAAAAGTGATTTTTCTAGCTCCACTCAGCCCAGACTCAGTTTTTCTTTGTGTCCGAGAATTCTCGTAGCGGAAGTCCCTGCTCTGGAGTACCTGCCTCTGGACAGCCAAGCAGGGTGGGTGCTCACTTTCTGCAGACTTTCTCTGCTGTGGGGCTTTAGGAGCCGATACCAGCTGGCATAATTCCTGTCTTACACTTCACGTATCTAATTTTATACATCACCAAAGCAAATTTAAGCCCTTTGCTCTAGTCCATAGGTTTTAAGACAAGGTTGGAAAATTTTACCAATAAAACACATAGAGATATATTGATAAGAGATATTACAAGTTCAATTACATTTGCAGGAAAAATTAAAGGTTAAAAAATTAATTCATTTCTACGTTGAATAAACAGGGTTACATATGTCTATACATGAACACTCACAGGCGAATAACTTTTAAGTTCTTAACAGTTTTGAGAACTTCCTTGTGTAACTGGCCAGTGCTGAAGTGTTTGGGTCATAGGATTTGCAATACTCGATGCTGTCAAATTTAGTAATTAGAATGTCTATTTCATATAGACTTACAGGGTTTCTACATTATTCAGTTGCTTAAAATCAAAGTGACAATTAATATCAAAATAATTTCCAGTTGCTCTTTATGGGCTTCTTTCAAAAGAGGACAATATCTTTGAAAATCATTTAGACTGGATTTTCATGTATTCTTTAACCTTCACAGAACAGTGGATTTAAGCATTCTCCGTATGCCTGTAGAGAGTACTGTTTAGTTAAATGTAGCTCTGATTGGGGCTTCTCTGCATTTTTGCATTCCTGTTAGTAACATAATAAAAGTTTCTGTTGTGTTATTTCTAATTTCAATTTCCATATATACTGTTTATTCTTGTTTTCTTATTTTATATCTCATTATGATAAAGTTCAAACATCTTAAGAATAAATTGATGAAATTTTACATGCATGTACAGCCATTTAATCATTGTTCAGATCAAGCCAGAGTCTTTCCAACCTCCCAGAAGCTTCCAAATGGCACAGAACCATCTCCAAGGGACCACGTGCAGACTTCCCTCACTATGGACTCATTTTGCCTGCTCTTGAACTTCTACTTTTCCTTTTAAGTATATCATCCAGGGCTTTGATAATTGAAAATAAATGTGTTCTATCCATCATTTGTCATTCCTATTGAGGAAAATAACTGGACTTTAACATTCATTCCATCTCTTTGTGATTCTAATATTTCTTTTTAGGCATTACGTTCTAAATCCTCTACTCTTGGGCTGGGGATTTAGCTTAGTGGTGTTGCCACCTGCTTTTGCAAGTGCAAGGACCTGAGTTCGATCCCCAGTACAAACAAAGAAAAACCAAATAAATCCCTTACTCTTTAAACAAACATTATTGCTTTTATTTTTAATATTCATTGGAGAACTATTATGTAGTGTTGTATAATTACATATTCTTTATATTCTAAACATGTCCCTAATGCTTCAGATTTGCTTCAGCATTTGCCTTTAGGATAATATAAACTCCAAGAGGCCTTTAACATACTCAGGTACAAACGTACTCTAATGAATAGAATAACTAAGTGTTAAGCGTTTAGACCTTACAGTTGTTGCCTAGCTTTAGACTAACATAATGCCTGGGAAGGATACTGGTCTTTGAATATGAAAAACCAAAGTCCTGGTTCTGTAAATTAACCATCTGAATTATTTGGATAAGGGACTTAAATTCTCTAAGCCTTTTCTTTCACATTTGGAGTAAGTTAAAGTCACTAATCTTAGAGATAAATTTTGTACATCAAATCTAATATGAGATCATGAATATTGAAGTGCTTACAGCTTTAACAATAAGGTGTGCCTGGCTTGATTTTTAGATTTATTTAAATCATATTTTAGGTCTTATTGATATAAATCAAATTACACAACCAAACTGGGGCACTTGACTATTTAAAATACATGCACAATGAAATCTTTATTATCTTGCCATGTTCAGAATGAATCAGAAATAGTTCAATCCAGGCATTTACTTTGTGACTTCTTAAAATAATCTAAGAGCACATAAGCAGTGCTTGTTTGTATGTGGTCATATTCATCTCTTATTTATCTCTTTCACCTTACCTATCATTTGCCTGCCCTGATAGGAAATAAATGTATATCTAAATATATTTCCTGTATCATTTTAGTTTAAAAAATCATGAACTAACCTAGGAATAAGTTGAGATAAACAAAGAAATAGTTGGGTTCGGTGGTGGTGAGCAGTGATAAAGGTGTACAGAAAGGCAGACAGCATCAGGGATTGGAGTTAAGAGCGAGATCAAAATAGATAAAAATATGCATTCTGCTGGCAATAGCGGTGGTTAGCAGCCTCTGATAAGAAATGGAATATTTATTCCAACTTGCCTGCTAAATTGTAAGTACATCTCTGAATCTTTTTTGTAGCCAAAATTTATTCTGTCATCAAAAATGAGGACAACTAAAATTTGGACTTCCATATTTGTTTGTATATTTGATCTACTTTAAAGTATTTCTTATACATTGAAGCACCTATGAAAGAAAGGAAAAGATGAATAGTGCTCTTGAATCTCATTTGTTCTTTGGGGGTTTTAAGCCATTGAATTTTATATTGGGGAAAGGTAAGGTTTGTTTTTTGGTTTTTTTTTTAAGAGCAGATAGGCTATATTCCTCACAAATTTCGGAAGATTCAAGCAGAATATTTATAGGGCAGAAGAAACAAAGAAAATAACATCTTGTTTAAGTGTAGACTTCCCTGTTTTAATTCTGAAATGCTTGCTAGTGATTTTGGGTTGGAAACTTATTCAGGACATCAGTAGGACCTACAGGCTGACACGTGGTAATGATCCCGTTTGCCATTTTAAGTAAACCTCCATTGTGTGCCTGCTATGTGTGAGGCATCCTCTAATGACATGAGCATTGGGAAATGAAGATTTTCTTCTCTCACTGCTACGTGGAGGCCAAATTATACACCGTTGCCTAGGTTACTCCAAGACAAAGGGACCATTCTCTCTGAATCTCCTCTTGCTTCTCTAAACTATGTTCTGCACACTCGTATCTTCCCCACATGCTTGTCTCTCGTATCATACTCCCTTATCTTCAGTGGTTTCCATTTCTTTAGCGTAGACACTGGATGTCTTCGTCTAACCACGTGAGCACTGCATATTGCCTTCCTTCAGAGCCACGCCATCCTCGTGGTCCAGTGCATACTTTTTGCTGTCTTTGCAGTTTCAGCTTCTTTCTGCACAGGCTCTTTGCACATGCTACAGTTAGCAGCTGAGGATATCCACACAGACTGTCATCCTCAGTGCACACTCAGCATGGAGTACATTTCTCATGCTTCAGATCCCACTGCCACGGTTCCTCTATGGAAATCTTGCCCTGGCCTCCCTCGTCGTATTTCTGCCTCTTACTGTCATACCAGTCTCCTACTCCTTGTATCTTTGCTTCGCATCACTGACAGGGGCTTCCTGGGTCAACGTGTCTCCTTATAGGAATCTTAGTTTAGAGCTCTTGTGTTTTGTTTTTTTAAGAGCAGGTAAGCTATATTCCTGACAAATTTCTGAAGATTGCAGCAGAATGTAGGGCAGAATATGTGTAGGCTCACAGTCCTCTCTCAGGGATTAGCAGGAAGTGTAGGTGTTTTGAAAATATCTGATAGATGAATGAGTGCGTCAACCTGATCTTGCCTTCAAGAAGCTTCTGGTTTAGTAGAGGCAACAGATAAGAAGGCAGACACAGAGAGCAGCGAGTACTGTGAATTTGGGAGTTTTCTTGCCTTCACAGAAAACCCAAACGTAAGGAAGTTTTCCTTGAGATATTATTAATAAAAATTGTATAATTTTAAAAAATCATTTCTTTTTAAACTCCCATGTAAAATGAGGTACTTATATTGAAAAGGAAATAATGTGCAATAAGTGACACTTTTAATACCAAGGCTATGAAACTTGTCCAGCAGTGATCCTGTCATTTTGGGCAACTGTTTGAGAAGACTAAGGTGAAATATTTGTCATTTGTAGAGCTTTTCTACTTGGCGAATTTCTAGCATCCTAGTAAGATACAAATCCTCTAGAGAGTTTCCAAAGTCATTGGAGAATTTCTGAGTCTTTGACATAGGGATTTACAGGAAAACTTGCCACAAGCCAGCATTTTGGACATCATGAACTCAGAACTCCAGGATTTCTTCTGATTTGACCTTTCTGTGGCCCTAGGACTCAATATATAATACCATCAATACAACTCCAGTGTTACCTGAAGGAATACAGATCGAGATACATAGTATATGTTTAAAATGAAATAGTAATAACATTTTCATTGTCCAGATGAGTGCCTAATTTAAACCAGTGCATAAATCTTACTATTGTGTTTGAGTTTGAAAATTAAATACTTAGTAAAGTATCACAGTCAATTCTTTCAACTTTTATCTCTCCCTTATCAATAAATTACTGGGTTAGGTTTATACTGATATTTCTAATGTCTTCTCCCAAAAACCATTCATATATTTAAATGACTGATTTTCTATATCAGGAGATAATAGAAAATTAATATGTGTCTATCTTATTCCCAGTGATGTTTAGATTGTGCTTAATTTGTTCGGTAGCAGACATACAATGGAGAGAAATGATGTAAAGTACCAAGAATCAATAAGAATAGTGCAAATCTGAGAACTGAATGTCTCTTTACCTTGAGAACTTAATGCTTTAGTCAGGCACAGCCTTCTACCATGTACTGATTACTTTAATTCAAAACCTGGAAAATCACGAAGGTCTTCTCTGGTTTCAAATTCTGTAGTTCTATAACAATGTACATGGTCCAGTCAAAATTTTCTAAATTTAACTGTGAAAGAAAATGACATTTCTTTTCGGGTAATAAGTTCAGAAATACTGGAATCAGACACTTAAATGAAAGGAGTGTCAGAAGGTGATATTAGAGCAGTATAGGCATTTCTATTTCTCTCCATTAAACATAATATTAGTGGAGAATTGCCAGAACTTAGGACAAATCAGTAGAATCTACAGTTTTCCAAAATGTATTCTCATTTTAACCGAAGTTCTCACTAAATCAGGAAATAATTTCACTCTCTTCAATATCACAAACTTCAGAAATGACAGTCAGTGACACTTTTCAATTTCTTTCTGATCTCTCATAATTTTGAGAGAAATTTATATATTTTAGCATACTTAATTTCCCATTAAGGATCCAGCCGAAATTAATCTTTTCTTCAGAAACTATAATGAGATAGCATTTCAGCAGCCACACTAAAAATATAAAAGAATAAAAATTACAGGAAAAAATAAATATTACAGGAAAAAATAAATACTACAATGACTGCTATTGTTGTCTACAAAGGAGAAAATGTCACCACTCTGAGAATTCCCTGTATACCAAATTATAAGACAAGTGGAACATGACACATCAAATTTGAAAAAAAGATCAAGAATTCCTAAGTTACAGAAACTATATATTAAAAAAAAATAATTTGGGTTTAAAATACAGAAAAGTATCATTTATATATTACATATATATATATTATATATTTAAGTTTGTTTATTATTTAGTAGATTGTAGTATGGAGCGTTGTAACATTATTTGTGACCCAGTGTTGTCTGTCATTCAAATCAGGTATGAGCTGGGATTCTCAGTATCTAGCTAAGTGCTTATATATGTACATATATTTGTACACACCCAATACATACTGATACAAACACACAACCTAAAAACAAATAGACCACTTTCAGAACTTTTAAGGCCTCATATCTATTTAAGAATATGAAAATTCAGTCACCACTTTGACATTTTACCATCTTACCTTGCTTTATTAGCCTTCCTGTTCTTACTGAATCCATGATTAGCGTTCCTGATTGGATAGATGTAGTTGGCCTTAAGACGAGCTATATTTACTTAAAACCTTGGTTTGTTTGTCTGTCTGTCTCTCTCTCTCTCTCTCTTTCTTTCTCACCACTTTTGTCTCCTTACCTAGGCTAAAAGAGTTGATACTTTTGCTTGGTCTGTAAATTAAAATGTTGAAGACAATACTTTTTACTTTTTAAAAAAAATCCTTTATGTCCTTTTCCTGCCACTTTTTACATTAAGGTAATTCCATTTAAAGTTGTTTTATATGTAATATGGGGTACGAAGAAACATAAATGGAGCTTATATTTGTTAGTGTCAGCAATCACAGGAATCACATTTCCCACTACACATTTTCATTTGACTGACAGAACTTTCTGGCTGCTAGTGCGGTTTCCCACTTCTATATCTCAGAGTCATTCCATAAATGTTTAATCAAGTTCCTGCTGCCTGTTAGACACTCTTCTAAGTGCAGTGGAAAAAGCAAACAAGAATCCCAACCTCTCAAGCTTATGTGAGTAGGAATTTAAAGCACCTCCAGCCTCTCCTGTGGAAAAGGATGTGGTTCATCTTCAGTATAAAGTGCAAACACCGCTAATCTATAGAGAGTAGATCAGAGGAGGATGGGATACAAAAAGCACTGTGTGTTTTAGGAAGAGACCGAGGGGCCAGCTTCTTTGATCTGGCCCTGAATGATAGCCTCGTAAACTGATGGGCTCTATTATTTACTTACTTCTCTGTGGGCTTCCTCTCTCATTTCTGAACTGCATCTCCCTTTTATGTTTCAAGACACTAACAGTTCCAGGACCTCCTTCTCCTTTGTTTTTGTTGACTCATTTTATGTGGTTTTACAAATTTATTTATGTACTTTTGATGTCCAGATGTAGCCCTGCACTCCAGCTTTTTATACCGTCTTCCTTTTCCACGCCTCAATAGGCCGGTCACATTGAACACGTCCAAGGCGAGGGGTCCCCCTCCATACATGCACACTGCTTCCCCACACATCAGTGATGCTCCCACCAGTCTGCCTTCCGCTCAGGCGAAACTCCGTGATGTCATCCCCAGCTCTTTTCCCTCTCATCCCACATTCCATCTGTGAGAAAATCTTTACAACTTATCCTTAATGACTTCCCTGCTAGTCATCCCTAATCCAAACCTACTGTCATCAGTCAAGTTCTTCAGCTTCTGCGGTCACTTCTGTTCCTGCTTTTCCAGAGTTGCATACTTTGTGAATCACTCCTTATCAAAGAGAAATTTTATTTTATCCCACCTTGCTGGTGACCTTAAGTGTATCTTCTATTTCACTTTCAAAATTCCTCAGTGCCTCTGATTGCAAGGCTCTCAAACCTGGCCTTTCCCCAACTCTGCACCTTACCTCCCTCTTTTTCTCCCTTCGTCTCGCAGCCTCAGCCGCTGAGATGTACTCGCCTACAACACTAGGTTCAGTTTTTGCCTTGACCTTTGCACCTGCTCTTCCTGTATCTGGCCCTGTTCCCAGCCATATCCATGCATAATTTATTGCCTCATGACAGTTGAGTCTGCTCAAATGCCACTTCAAAGAGGGACTCAGCATCACTCAATATTCTAGCCTAGTGCTCTAATCCCTATTGTCTTTTATAGCATATATATTTATATATTTTATTGTGTCCTAATATTATATTAGAAGCTGAATTTTTTCTTCTCATTGGTTCCTTTTCTTTATCTCCATTAAATTCAAGTACCACAAGGACTGTATTTTCTTTTTTAATGAACATTGGAAGCCAGACATGGGTGGTGTGTACCTTATAATCCAAGAGGGCTGGGAACCTGAGGCAGGAGGGATTACAAATTTGAAGACAGTCTGCACAACTTAGTGACTTAGCTCGACCATGTCTCAAAATAAAAAAGGGGGTAAGGATATAGGTCAAGACAAAGGCCCTGGGTGCAGTTCCTAGTACTAAAACAAAAACAAAAAACCCAAAATTGAAGGAACCTAGTATTTAATGTTTCCTGGTTGAAACAATGAAATGAATACTATATCAAAGGATTATGGTAGAAATCATAGGACTGGCTTCTGCCAAAAGATGATAGGCAACTAACAAAGCTGCCTTTCTGCTCATTTTACCTTCGTTAGTACCAGAAATTCTGAGATTCAGGACACAAAATTCATGAGACATTTTCTTTAAAATCTCAGTTGCATGGCTTGCCCATGTTCTAAGATAATTATTTGTTTCCATGTATATTTAAGTCTTTCAGGATCCATTTTATATGAAGAACATATCCAAGTGTTCTAAAAACTTTTGTTGAAATAAGAGTTGTTACCCTCAGCCCCAGGACGTGTGTGTGTGTGTGTGTGTGTGTGTGTGTGTGTGCGCGCACGATTGCATGTAGGTAATGAAAGTATAGAATAAGGAACAGATCCTATCAAGTTATATTGAAGTGGTCAAATTATTACTTTGGATTCATCATTTGTTTACTTTTTTGTATCTCTATCAAAAAATAAAATCTATACAATACCCGTATCACTAGTGTTTCCATACACTCTAATAAAGCATGGCAACCCAAGCGAGTGAATCTTACCCTTACTCTCAGGAAGAGTTACTCCCATTTCAAATATTACATAAGTGTATTGTTCGATTTGTTCAACCTCTGATTTTTTTTATGTGCTGGTTTTACAAGGTGTTTCCTTGCTGTCAAAGACCAACCATATTCGGGCAAATCAAATTATCTTACTGCAATAAAATTCACGCAAATTAATTCATCTTAAGGCAGTTGAGTGAAATCATAAAGGAGAGACACCTAGGTAATTAAAGTGGAATTAAAATGTTTAAACTTGCTCCAACTCATTTCATAAAGGTTCTGAACTGACTTTAAAAATCTGCCTACAATATAATGAAAAATAAAATGAGGTAGTGTGGGGAGGAAGAACATAAAGAATTCGGTTGAAGTTCTTTTAGCTGTGTGCAGTGCTTTTGAATGCTTCTTGAGCATGTCAGCTATTTGATAAGACATGCTTTATTGCTTTTCTACTTACATTTGCATAATCACTTTTAAGCAGAAAAACTGCATGATTTCAAATTTGGTTATTACAAAATCTTTTTAATTGAGTTATTATTCAATTATGCCATTAACTAATTTTTGCAACACAAATATTCATAGAAAAGAAGTTACCTTGATAAATTTTCAGGGACACTGATGCAGCCTTTTGTTTTCCCTTCAGGAAATGATGCAACCTCCATTGTCAACTGTCTTCATATTTTGGGTCAGACCTTGGATGCAAGGTAAATGGACACATTTTCATCTACATGAGTGAATGTACAAAAGATACATAAGAATGCTAAGAAGGAACCGGTGTCTTGATTTTGTTTTTGGATTTTGTGGCGAAGGCTTACGTATAAACAGAAGGAAAATCTTTGGTAAATTATTAACATAGTGACAGTTTACTTACATAATTTTTTATATAGGTTATTTAAATTTAAAGTAATTTCCATAGCAGCTAAGAGTGTAACTGAGAGTGGAGCCAAGAATGTATCATGGCAACTCTGGAGGTCTGAGTAACTTCAAGATGTGAGATGTGATCAGTGTTCATAATAAAGCTTGACTTTCCGTCAATACAAGCATTTTACCCTCATTTTGCAAATGAGTAAAGTAATGCTTCAGATTGCGTAGTAAGCATGCGAGCAGACTAGTTCCCGAGGTGCTGTCCTTCCTACTCTGCTCTGTTGTTGACTTGAGAAATCCAGCATGTTGACTGAATAAAAACTTAGCTTATTTAACAAAATACTATTTCAACTTTTAAGCTATACGTTTAACTCATATAGTATCTAAGATAAATTAAAATCTAGTTTACAGATGTCTCTTACGAAGGATATTTTTTGTCATTTGGTGATTTGCTTTAGCTGGCATTAAATGCTTCTTCTGTGCTCAGTGTCTCAGGAAATATTATCAGTCAGTTGGATTTGGGATCAGCTAACTGGCTTCAACTATACTGTATCAGTTATTTTGTGACTCCCTCAAAACTTGAGAGCATAAAGTACTCACACAGCCTTTTGCTTAGAGATCTTTAATGAAGTTGTCCATGAAGCCTTCTGGGAAAGGCATCTTACACAGCGGTATCCCTGTAACTTCCAGTATATTGAAAAATAACTGTTTTAGAGTTAATTTGAAAAATTTAGGGGGCTCAGGATGTAGCACAGTGGTACAGTGTTTGTCTAGCGTGCTTGAAGTCCTAGGTTCCATCCCCACCCTTGCAAAAATGAAAAGTGGATGCTGTAATGGAGAAACACACATAATACAGGGCCACATATCTGCATTTCTTTTGCACCGTTGGAAGGTACAAGCTCTCCCGTATTCGTTTTCCAGGACTGTGATGAAGACGGGGCTGGATCGTGTGAAAAGCGCACTCCGAGCTTTTCTGGACAACGCTGCAGAAGATTTGGAGAAGACTATGGAAAACCTGAAGCAGGGCCAGTTCACCCACACGCGAAACCAACCCAGGGGGGTCACTCAGATTATCAATTACACTACGGTGGCGCTGTTGCCAATGCTGTCCTCTTTGTTTGAACATATTGGCCAGCACCAGTTTGGAGAAGATCTAATATGTATGTAGAATCTATTACTCAGGGTTTCATTCTTGAGATAGTACAATTTAAAAATTGTAAATGTAACACCTGGGTCATTCAAGAACTTGATTATACATTAAAATGCCCCCAAAACATTATACTTTGACATTTGAATTATAGGAACCATTTGTGTAGAGATAGCTCTCTGAGTCACATGGGCCCATGAGAAGACTGGTAAAGTACTGGTCACAGACAGTAACTTCTACCTTGTGGAAGTATGGGTTCCAAAATCCATTTCTAATTTTCTGCTTTCAGTGACATTTTCTAATTCATTTGGACCATATGACATGACACATTGAGTATTTTTTAATTGTTTCATGAGCTATATTACCAACTAGTGCGAAGACTACTGAGCCACAGTTTGTGTCTAAATGCTTGGACTGGTAGGAGGACTCAGTTATATTTGGTTCCCAAGTTTTAGTCAGTTTTCGTGGAAGACTTAATTGGTTTGAGCTGGAATTCTGTAGTTATAAAAAAAAAAAACTACAGATGTCCCAAGATTAAGTGGAATATATAAAACACGAGCTGATCTAGGTTCCTGGTTTGCTGCTGGTCTGAACATGGGACCCACCTAGGCACACTTCCGTGTTGTGGGTTCCCCAGGTGGTGGTGGGCGGCAGTCTGTGAAGATTGTTATTCAGTGCCTGCCACAAATACCAGTTTGAAAACTTGGGTTTTAACCCGTAGGAGCGTTGTTCACAGCACAGTGTGTACATGGAAACAGGTCTGAGGTCAAGGCTTGTTCCTCCCTGGTGTACCCACCAGGAAATGCTAGCGAAGTTGAAATTAGAAATTCAGAGTTCTTATGTTTCTTTGAATTGTAAGTGTATTTTATTGGATAATAGATTATCTATAAGGTTTTGTTTAATGTTCTACCGTGAATAAATACAGGGTAAATGACTGATGTCTTGAAGGTCAAGTCATTTGAGAAAGTAAGAGACTGTTCCAGCCAGTGTTCTCATTAGCATCTGGGCGTCAGGGCAAACCATGCAGCTCTCATGAGCCTTTGGAGCAAGAGCAGACATCTACCTGGATCCTTCTCTTTCCAGTTATTCTTGTGGCTAATATTATAAAGATATCCATATGGTTAAATCGCTTATGCTTATACCTAGAGAAAAATTACAAAGATGTTATTTCTGAGAATATTCTGGATCATCACAGAGTATTCTTTAGAACAGTTTTAGCACCCCAAAGAAAAGAATGTTTCATCTTCTACATCTGTTCTGATTTTGCTTTTTCCAAATGTTAAAATATTAGAATGTCTTTAGTAAGGAGTTTTTTAGCCTTATCTTTCTCGGGACAATTACAATAAATGGTTTTGCTTTAAGTGAGATTCTCTTTTTCTTTAGTGGAAGATGTACAAGTGTCTTGTTATAGAATTCTGACTAGCTTATATGCTTTGGGAACCAGCAAGAGTATTTATGTGGAGAGGTAAGAATTTTAAAGTTTACATTTATATTAATAGGTGTTTTGAGACTCTTATTTTTATAACTTTGTCCTTCTAAACTACACCAGATAGACCTTTAAGCTCTTTGAGAGTACAATAATTAGGCAATATTTAAGCTAAATAAAAATTGTTAAAATATTGTAGCATTATTCAAAATAGTAAAAACAACGATAAAAAACAGTTAAAGTTGAAACTGAAAAAATCTGCTAGTTCAGTTTCTCATTGTAGATCAGAAATACAAAGTAGTTCTTAAAATCATTTTTTTTTTTTTTTTTGGTACCAGGGATTGAACTTGGGACCTTGTGCTTGCGAGGCAGGTGGCAGAATCACTGAGCTAAACCCTTGGTCTTCAGTTTTATTTATATACATTCTCAGGTTTCCAGAGAGACTAGTCTGATATTGCCAAAGTAAGAACAGGCATTGCATTGAATTTATTTATTTATTAAGTAATTGAATTTACTGGTACATTTTAGGGATACAGTACAGTTACATTCATTGTTGGGATCTTGTACCTCTACATGACAGGTCTTGGTTCTCATTTTTTCCCCTTGTCCCTGCCCTCCCTTCACTTCCTCCTCCCCTCCCCATTTACAAACACTTTATTTCCATCTTTTCATTTTCTCACATTTTTTTCTTTTCCCTTATTACCCTTCCCCTACCCATCCTACCTTCCCTACACCTTTAGCCCCTTTCTTCCCATTTCACAATGTCATTTATCTCATTAGGATTTTACGTACTATTACAGCTTATTCACACCAGAGAAACTATTCAGTATTTACACATGTGTGACTTATTTATTTCACTTAGGAGTATATCCTCAAAATGTAACCATTTTCCTATGAAGGAATCTACTTTCTCATTCTTTATGGATGAGTAATATTCCATTTTATAGAAAAAACACATCTTCTTTATCTAGTCTCCAAATGATGAACAAATGGGCTGTTTCCAAGTTTTAGCTATTACAAACTGTGCCGCTATAAACATGGGTGCGTGTACATCACTGTGCATTGAATTTAAAGTAAAAGAACACTAGCAACTTCAGTAAGAAATGTCTGAAGAGCAGAGAAGATGACCAGGGTAAACAAAATAAGCAGACGTTATGATAGCATAGTTGGTATGATCAAAATACTATGGGATGAATGTTTAATGTATTACAGTAAAAAACACATTGTCATTAATGTGTACTGCTCCTCACTTTAAACACCCTTATCCCATATTCTTGTTACTTTCTGAAGCAGTTCTGGACGTCCCCTTTCATGGGTATATTTAATTGCGGCTTTGTTGCTGCCTCATTCTGAATTGATTCAAAATGTTTGCCATTCGCAGTTATTTTGATTTGGGGATGAGCCATCAGCTGCATGGTGCCAGATCCAGTGACTAGGGAGGATTAGGACACAGCACAATGTTTTTCTAAGCCTTCCTTTCCGTTGCGTGGCCCTCATTAGCAGCATTCTCCTTCCATATTTTTCCTCATGCCTTCAGTAGACACTCATGAAAGAGGACTTGCAGAACTGCTTCAGAAAGTGGCAAGAACAGTGGAGTAAGTGTGTCTGAAGTGTAGGGAATGTTTTCGGAAGGATTCATGTCAGTGCATTTTTTTAATATAATGCATCAAGAAATTGAAACATTCTCCGTATACTTTGAGCTCACCTCATGTATAAAAAGGAATAGATGTAAAACCTTCCCAATTAATCTATAGTTAATAGTAACGCATTTTCAAAAATAAGTTTGCTTTTTGTTGAAATTGAAAAAATAATCTTCAAGTTCATTTCAAAGAATAAGCCCATGAAACTTTCCAGCAAAATGTTGAAAGGAAATAAAACAGTGATGAAAGGGTAGTCAGCTAACCACATATTAAAATTCGTGAAGCTACAATAATGGAAACAGGATGACAATTACATAGAAATATAAACTTATATGATGGAAAATGATAATTTATTTCACTCTGAATATTTTAAGAATTGTAGCTATATTTTATACTAAACTCTACTTTCATAAGATTTCTGTATTTATTAAACACTTTAGACCAAGGAAGTAGATTTATTGTAGTGATATTTTATTTTGAAAAGTAGGATATTTTCTCTTTTTCACTAACATAAAAAATGCTAGAATTGTGTTCATAGATTCTTGTATTTATATATACTTATTTCCTTAGCTGTGTCTCAGAATTTGCAAGTCTAGATTAAAAGCATGCGTATATGGAATTATTATGATACTTCAACATCTTTTGTTAAGTGACATATGATTATATGATAATTCTGCAAAAAAGTTTAAAAACTGCATCCTAAGAAAATTCAGTAAAGTTTTCTTGATTGTACCAATTTTAAAATTGTGTTTATTACAATCTTTAAAGAACTTTATCATGTTAAAATTGTTTTCATAATATTTTATATAGCTTCCTCTGCCAGCAAAGTCTTGGGTTTAGTTGATTAAATGGAGAGAGGGAGCTAATATCAGTGGCAGGAAGAGCCTTGGGTCATAGCCTGTCCCACGTCATCAGTCATAATTTGGTTTCTGCAGCAGCTTCCTCCTGCTGTAAATGATGTATCAGCTTCAGATGTTATCAGTAGAGTTTAGTGTTTATCATGTGTTGGGATTTCTATAGCCGTCTTGAAATCACTTTTCTGTGGTATTTTTGCTAAGATTGTGTTAGTGTGTCAGGGTTAGTGCTCCACTTGTAAACTTTTCTGAATCCAGTTATTCACCACGCAAGAATTCCTCCTCAGTAGGTCGTTTGCCTAAAGAAAGAAAAGAACGGAGAGAGGGACAGAAGGAGGGAGGGAAGAAAATGTTTAAATTGGTAAGAGAAAAAAAACCAGTGCCTTCTCATTTTGTTTTATCTTATTATTTTGGTCTGTACTGTTTCTAACTTCCTTTTCCCTGAGATAATTTAGCTTTTATTAAGGGGAGCATATTTTGTTTTTGAACTCATATGACGTTTTGCAGTATAGAAATTGGATTAAGAGTACTCTATTAGTAACAATACAGTATTATTGTTTCTTTTCTGGTCATCCATGCCAATTTTAATATAACTTCTTCAGTGATTCCTTGGGAGACAAAAATAAGCATTTCCTCTTCACAGGCAACGCTCCGCATTAGGAGAATGTCTGGCTGCCTTTGCTGGTGCCTTTCCTGTGGCATTTTTGGAAACTCATCTCGACAAACATAATGTTCACTCCATCTACAATACTAAGTCTTCACGAGAGAGAGCAGGTAATGTTTTGGAAATACATACAGCTAAAACTTAATGGCGTTTTCCGTATTTTCCTGCCGTGATTCTTAATGGGCTATTTCACCTTATGATTTCACAACCTTGCTCTTTGTTCTTAAGTGGTGCTGTTTGATGTTACGTTTTTTGGAATGCTGTGTACTATCCCCCTAATGTTTCTGAAAGAAAATTTATGTAATTGCTTCTGAGTTGATGAGCTGGTAGACAAATGTTCATTCTTGAGAATAAGGCTAAATAACCGGCAAATGTCAGAGAGAAGAGTCAATCTGAGTTCTTTATTCCTCTCCTGCAGTCGTTCAGCGAGGGCTGTGGCATCCTGTTCATCACATGTGTACCCTTTGTGATTTGTAACCTGCACAACTCTGTTCACCACGTATCTATCTTATTATAAGTTTTTAATGATGTCTAATAGTTTGTCTAAATGTTTTATTATTTAAAAATCTTAAAAAAATAAATCAGAGACACAAACTCAACAATTTTACTTTGTACCTGGCCTGAATGTGTGTATCCCTGAGATCCATGTGTCTCAGTGCATACTGGGTGGTTATCTGTGTACATGTACTCATGTGTTATAGCGCATTTAATTTTGGAAAATCTGAAAATTTTTTTTTTTTTTTTTTGGTATTTGGGATTGAACTCGGGTCCTTGCGCTTGCAAGGCAGGCCACCGAACCACTGAGCTAAATTTCTGGCTGGAAAATCTGAATTTTAGGTAGATAGGCCCTTAAAAAAAACTTATACTAGTTGAAAAGCTTTTATAGTCATGGTTGATGATCTCCATAGTTGGCCTTTGAGAACCTAACTGGAATTATCAACTAGGATTTGAATTGAGTTAGAAGAACAAGTGAATTGGAAACTGATTATTGTAGCTTAAACTTTAAATCCATAAAAGCAAAGTTGTCAATGCCTCATCACTCCACCCAGAGGCCCTGTCATAGGATTTTCCTGTGGGGTTTTCTCTAAGTCTGATAAGGCCAATGATATTTTGTCTGTTGTCTAGTAACCCAAAATAATTACTAAAGCATAAACAAGATCTACCTGCTCTTCGTAAGTGCATGTCTCTCTATGGATGTCTTTATGTAACTGATGTTTTAATGGGAGCTGTTGGTTGGTTACACTGATTTTACAGCAAGTCCTATCAAGTAAGGTATTTTTCAATGACTTCAATACTTATTATTTAATTCAGCTATTTTATAATACTGATTTTATATAACAGATGAAATGAAAAAATACACTGCATGGGCATACTATTTTTCTACATAATTTCTGTAATGTATTTGCAAGCAGTTAGTGAACAAATGGCTAAAACTGAACGTGGTGGTACACAGCTGCAGTCTTAGCATTCAGAAAGGCTGGAGAAGGAGGACTGCAAGTTTGAAGCCAGCTCGGGCAACTTAGTGAGACCCTGTTTTCCAGTTTTAAAAATCCCAGTGCAAAGGCCCTACCTAGGTTGAAGACTAGGGACTGAAAAAAAAGAAAGGTTGAGTTAAATTATTAATCATCTAGATAAATATAAGGTTTTATTAAAACTTTCTAGCCCGGGATTGAGCTCAGTGGTGTCACGCCTGCCTCAAAAGTGCAAGGTCCTGTGTTTGATTCCCAGTACCTGACGAAAGACTTTTGTAACTGTTAATATTTTAGCTATGAACCAGGACTATTTGTTATCCTATGACAAAGAACAGAATATACAAAGCAGTAATTTACCTGCTTATGTTTCCATAACATTTGCATGACAAAGTAGAATTAAATGTAATGATTTTATTCATCTTTTAATCAACTGATCAGCAATCAGGTTTGTGATACACACTTTGGGAAGTAAAGGAGGTGCTGTGCAAAGTTAATAATATATAGTTCTTTTCCTCAGGGAGATTTTAGTTCCAGTAGCGGATGAAGGATTTGTAAACACGTGTGATGAACTGCAAAATAAAAGCTAGGCATGGTGGAATGTACCTGTAGTCCCGGCTTATCCCCGAAACCAAGGCAGGAGGTTTGCTTGAACCCAGGAGTTTGACACCAGCCCAGGTCAACAAAGCGAGACCCTGTCTCAGAGTAGTAATAATGATAGCAAATAGTTCAGAATAAAGAATATTAAGGTCACAGAAAGGCAGTTTTAGCCAAGAACACCTGGAAAGACTGCCTAGCACTCATTCAAGATGAGTCTTGAAATGAAAACACTGAACCACCGGTACATCAGGAAAAACTTGAAGCGTGTTGACAATGTCTGCAGATAGCTTTCAGAAGGAAAAAGAGTGAAAGTGCACAACCAGAAAGTGGGCCGGTGCGAAGCCGTCCCATGTCAGAGGAGAAATGCAGACTATGCCAATGGCAAAGGGGACCGTTTTACTGGCTTTGCAAAGGGATTGACTTGAATAGATCCGTGGTTTAGAAATCTCCCGGGAAAGACACTAAAGAAAACCAACACTTGAAAGTTCATCAAAGAGAAAAGATGGGCCCAATTTTGAAAAGTTAAGGAAGTTTATTTCATGAAAAGGGGACTTGATTGGTGGTGTAAAATACCACTGAGTGTGAGTGAGATTCGGGCGGGGGAAGCATGGTGGAAAGTGGAGATATCATTACTGTGGTCAGATGTGTGCCTGGAAGGCTGGGGGCTCCAGAAGAACTTTGTATCCATAGAGGCTGCTGGGAAGGAGACTTCAGGGAAGAAGGGACTGAAAATAGAGGGCTGAGCGAGGCCCCTAGGGAGGAGAAGGTGGCTGGAATACAGGAGGAACCAAGAGCAGGGCCCTCAAGCTGACTGCACAGACTGGGAAATGTATTTCTAGTGTGGCCCAGACATAGATGGCAGCTGCTCAGGGATCTGACGGGGGTGTCTGAAAGGTAGGAACTTCGGGGAGAGAACCTGTGAAACAGTTGCCCCTGGAAAAGGGAGAAGAGGCCAGTTGAAGGCGTGCGGGTGCTACTGAGTTCTGAGCCCCAAAGTGAGCTGGTTGCTTGTGTCTGTGGTAAACAGAGGAGACCTGCCACCTTGTGCCAGCTCCTTCTCTGAACAAAATCTGTTTCCACCTGTGGTTCTGCAGCTCTCAACCTGCCTCCGAATGTGGAGGACATGTGCCCAAATATACCGTCTTTGGAGAAGCTCATGGAGGAAATCGTGGAGCTGGCCGAGTCTGGGATCCGTTACACACAGATGCCACACGTCATGGAGGTCGTGTTGCCCATGCTGTGCAGCTACCTGTCTAGATGGTGGGAACATGGGCCTGAGAACAATCCCGAGCGCTCCGAGATGTGCTGCACAGCCCTGAACTCGGAGCACATGAACACCCTCCTGGGGAACATCCTGAAGATCATATACAACAACTTGGGGATCGATGAGGGAGCCTGGATGAAGCGTCTGGCAGGTAAGATTCAGAAAGAACTGTACCCCTCGACAGCTGTTCTATTTCCACAGTGACTGGTGATACAGATGCCTGGAATTGTCCTGCATCATCGTCATTCAGATTTTCTTCTATGCTCAGAAAATATTGTTTCTGTCATGCCGGTTTAAGAAAATATAGATATAATCAAATATCCCATAACTTTCTACATAGTTACTACTTTTCACTAAACATTTTCTTTGACAATCTCAGTAAGATTAATCAATAAGCACAATAAGTTGTGATTAATAAAACAGGTGAACAGTGATTGTGTAGACACAGAAAAAAATAGAACCAGACATTTAGGCAACCTCATCTATTAGTCCTATGTGGTGCATGAAGAGCAATCAAAAGATAAAGTGAGACATGCAGTTACGACTACCTACTGATATCGAAAAACTGTATGAAATCTAAATACTCAACGACTAGAATGCAGTTTAAAAGTTTGTGTACATTCTCATAACAGAACATTGTGCCGTCTTTAAGCTTTCAGTGGTGTTTTATACCTTTGGAAATGCTTATATCATGGAGAGTAAAGAGAAGATCATTTTCTTAAATAATGAATTGAAAATGATATGTGTATAAGTGTTTGCGAATTTATCTATTGATGAAAACTCCAGAGAAGTACACCACTGCCTTACTAGTTTGCATAGCCATGGTTGATCTTTTAATTTCATTCTCTTTTGTACGTTTCCCCACTGTTTATAGGTTACTTTTAGAGGGAAAAATCCATTGTGACACTGACCAGTTCAAATTCAGAACTATCTTTAACCACTGCAGCCATTACTAGATAAAAGAGCAGTATTCTGTAGGCTGAGAATCGGGAGAAGAGAAAAAATCTGTATACTCTCGTTGATTACACAGAGGAGAGTGTTGTCTCTCTAAAGAAAGGTCTGGAAGCACTTTTACTTCCTTGTGTGTAAATGGTTGATTCCCAAGATGAATGAAAGTCTTGCTGTAAAATTTTAATTTAGCTATCAATCTTTCAGGAAAAAAAAGCAAGCTAATAATGGCTAGATTTTCCATTACTGGAACACAATACTTGATACCCATAATTTAAAGGCAGGGAGATTTAATTTGGCTTGTGGTTCAAGGGAATCCAGTCAATAGAAGGCAAGCTTCAAAGGAGAAACAGCATGGGAAAAGGGTGTGGCAGACTAGAGATGCTTAGTTTATGGCACTCAGGAAATGTAGCAGGGGAACAGTTCCAGAGAGGAAGGGGTGAGGGACTGGAATAGTACCTAAGGTTATGCCACTGTGACCCACCCAGTCACACACAAAATGTATTCCACTAATCCCCTAGGCAGATCCTAAACCAATCAAGTTGGTCCAGTCAAGTTTAACCATCAAATAAGCACAGTGAATTCGTTTCTCCAATCATTTTTGAAAATCAACTGTGCCTATTTAGGTTTTGGTCCAGAAAAATGGCAGGATATAGATTTTGTCCTTAAGAAAGTCAGGCGCTGAGGGAGAGGCAAGTTTAAATAATTGGATTTGAATTGGCATTGCAACCTGTCCCAGTTTTAATGATGTTTATACTGAGAAGAATTCTAATATCCGTTCTTCAAACAGTGTTTTCCCAGCCTATCATCAATAAAGTGAAACCTCAGCTCTTGAAAACTCATTTTTTGCCTTTAATGGAGAAACTCAAGAAAAAAGCAGCCATGGTGGTAGCTGAGGAAGACCACCTCAAAGCTGAAGCCAGAGGGGACATGTCTGAGGCTGAGCTGCTCATTCTAGATGAGTTCACCACATTAGCCAGAGATCTGTATGCCTTCTACCCTCTCTTGATTCGATTCGTGGACTATAACAGGTATAATGTTCAGAAGCAGTGAATTTCCCTCATTCATTTTTACTTTCCTTGGCTAATGTGTTCCTACTGAATTGTTTCATTCTTCACTAACTACTTGGCCATAACCTTATTTATGGCTATAATGAAATGAGATGCCCATAGGTAGAGTAATTTTCACCAAGCATCTCAAAATTAGAAATCACATTTCTATATTTCTCATAGAAAGGTCAGCACTTGGACAGTTACAACATCCACAGGTTTTTAAATGTTACAACTGTACATTGAAGCAACTATGAGTTTCTAAGTTAGGGCGAAAAGAAGAAGACTTTTAAAACTTTATTAGCTTTAGGGAGTAAGTGAGAATTTGTTTCTTGCTTTGCAATCCAGGGCAAAGTGGCTGAAGGAACCGAATCCCGAAGCTGAGGAACTGTTCCGGATGGTGGCTGAAGTCTTTATCTACTGGTCAAAATCTCATGTAAGAGGATATTGCTGGATGATGACTGTGTTTGTTTGGTATAAAGGTTTTTGTAGGCAGGAGCCAGGTGTCCAGCTCCCTTGGTAAACATCTGTGGTACTTTCTCAAATTTGCCTGCTGAAGAGAGAGGGTAGGTGCTCTTGGGGACTTGTCTTGGATTTGTTATTTATCTTTTAAAATTCACAAAGCATTGGGCATAGTGGCTCATGCCTGTAATCCCAGCTACTTCGGAGGCTGAGGCAGGAGGACTACAAATTTGAATCTCATGTAGGCCATTTAGGGAGACCCTGTCTCCAAAAATAAAAAGGGGCTGGTAGTGTAACTCAAGTGGGAGAGCATTTGCCTAGCATTATTGAGGTGCTGGGTTCAATCCCTGGTATGGTAATCAATCAATCAGTGAACAAATATCACAGAGATGTTTTCCCCACACTATAGCTTTCCCCATCCTTTGGCATTCCAGTGCCTAGCCCAGAGTTCTCATGTCTCAGTTTCAGTAATACTGGTTTAACGTGTAAATTTATTTTATCTTCACACACTCATTCCTCTAGGAACCTAGTTTGGCACATGTTTTAGAATCAGTTGCCTTTTAAAGTGTAGCCTCTGCTGGGAATCCTCTTGATAAAAATTTCTAGAGGACATTTTTGGTGAATTTTCACTAATTTGTATGTTATAAGTAGAACTGTATTTCCTAAATCTGAAAAAGGTTTTAATCATAGGAAGAATTGTAGAGTGTTTTATGAGTCATTTGTACTAACTGGCAGAATACACATACGCATGGGCATTTATCATTGTCCTAAATTATTTTAAGAGCTTACACTTTTTCTATGAACTATAATTCTGTGTTACTTTGTAAGGGGGAGAGCTCTGTGAAATTAAAATTAAGAACCTCAGCCTTAGTTTCACCATCTAAGGGATTGTCCCAGTTTATGCTATCAGATTGTTTTACAAATCAAATCATTTTGACTAAGTAATGTTTTAAAATTCATATTTAATAACAGAATAATAAGTATTAACTACATCTAAGGAGTCTGTCAGGCTTATTAATTATATTACAGACATAAAACATGACTTAGAATATACAAAATGGCTTTAACATGTACATTTGTATCTTCACACTGAGATTTATTATCTGTAATGTGATAGCAAATTATTTTAGATCCTCTCTTTTCCTCTAAGTAAAAGTAAATGATTTCTTATCCTACATGATTCATCTTAAAGTGATGTGCTAGATCACTCAGGGTTTCTGAAATAAAATTTAAAATCTAGAAGAAATCAATCCACCTTCAGTGGTAAAAGAACCAAGCTGAATTGCAGTCATTTGCCTTTTATTTTTTTCCGTTAAATTCTCCTTCGATGCTTCTTTCTCACGATCAACTAGGAGCCCAAGAATAAATTACCTGAGAATTCTAAAAGCTGCATACTTCTCCTTATACAATTGATAATACCCTCCTATATCAGTAACTGAAATGTCAAAGGAGTAAGACCAAATTTTGGAACAGTGTATGTATTACAATCAGTATGTTTGTAGATGGTTATCTAATACTTTGAAGAATAAGAAAAAAAATCTGAATATATACTTTCAGTATACGTGCTACTGAAGCGAGCACATGAATGTATACTTTTAAATTTCATTTACATATTTGAAACAGAAACCTGGTAACATGGGTTACATTATTCCCCACATACTTACGTGAACTGCGTATCTAGACCTCAAACTCACTGGCAGCCATGTTGTAGTTGTAGGTATCTTTGAAAGGCATTGTTTAACCCAGCGCATGTACAACTCTTTCTATGCTGACATGTATTTAATCTGCTTTAAATAGCATTATTCTATTTTGAAAACATAAAAAAGAATGTCACAGTCAGTTCCTCTTTAGAATGATCCCATTAACTAGCTGAACGGGGCTTCAGCGCCCATTCCATCACTTGGTAGTGGGTGGCTCTGTGATTTAAACTTTCCGAAGTGTCCCATCTCTGAAATGTGCATATTTGTTTGCAGTTCTTGGAAGGTTTACCCCATGGCCAAGCAACCTCATGAGAGAGTCAACAAGTATTTGCTACCATTCTTCATAAGTCTGAAATACTGTTCTTACAGAGACTTTTGGCACCTGTATAACCTCTGGTTATATGGACTTCTTATCTAAGGGCTTTTAACTGACATTTCCTTTGCAACTTCTTAGAATTTCAAAAGAGAAGAGCAGAACTTTGTTGTGCAGAATGAAATCAACAATATGTCTTTCCTTATCACTGATACCAAGTCAAAGATGTCCAAGGTATTATTCTTCATATGTTTCTCTGTTGTTTTATGGAGTGATGGGCTTTGATGATGTTGCTTACTGACTAAAAGCATTCATACCATTTTAAGGGTTGCTAGGATGCATTCGAATCAGGTATTACTGGGTGAGATGTACAGATGCAGAAATGAGTGGCATGAAGGATGACCTTTTTTACTCACACAGCCTAGAAACAGGGCGGACACTGTGGAGGTATCATGCACAGATATACCAGTGAGGATGTAAGCAAGAGCCTCAGTATGGTTTCCATGGTGAGGCAGGGTAAGCAGGGTTAAGATTGGCTAATTTGAATACCTGTACGCAGGCATCTCTGGTGGTTTGGTTTTTGGCCCTGGGGAGATGAGGGTAGATGGAGACTGAACCAGAATGGAAGAGCCTGATAAAGAAGTGGGAGAGGTAGGCTTTTACAGCTGGGTTTGTACATACAGGAGAGCTGACTGGGAGTCATTTATTTCTCTAGGAATCTCCTGCCCGAGGAAGGGCCATCTCTCCAGGGTCTACAAGTCCCCACGATGTCAAAAGGTCATAATAAAGACATGCTTTACATACACAAGCACATGCACACACACTTCCACCTACCAAACTCACAAAACTGCTAGTTGGTATAAGGTGCATATAACTCTTAGGTAGAGTATTGCATGGTCTTCAAGAGTGATAGCATATATATTTAAATATGCCAGAACTATAGCTCTCAAAGCAATCAGCTGCATTATCTAAGAACTACATGGACGAATTTTAGGTTTTCATTCATTAGTGGTAACTTTGCTTTTAGGCTCTGTTGTCTCTGTCTTCCATGTTGGAAGAGGAGAAACTTCCCTTTCAATCACTTCAAATTCATGCCATAGTCATCTGAGTTTGTACTAATTAATAAAGATAAATATATTCACACAGAGAAAGATAAATGTATTTCATGAGGTAGCACAAAAAGTATGTTGCCAAATGGTTTTAAAATGCAAAATAGAGTCATATTCAGGCAAAATAAACCAGCCTCTACTAAACCCCATTAATTGTACTCATCCTTACTGTATGATAAATAATTTCACTACTTTTACTGTGCTAAAAACTTCTCAGTATCATAACATGATATAGTTTGCCTTACTTTGAGTAAAACGTATCATTCGTGTATTAAATTATCCTTTGTTGCTTTTCTCAAGAGCCCAAATTTATTACGTGTTATTATCATGAAAATTTGTTTCAAGTTTGAATTATTCTTGCAAAGAAATTCAGCATACACACAGAAATGAATATGGGACAATTGTTTTTATTCTGATATTAGACTATGCCATCATAATAGAAAGAATATTAATTAATTACCCAGTGAAACTTAAGCTGTTATTTGAAGTAATCCTACGGCATTTTGACAGGAAGCACAGAAGAGCTCTAACGTGTATCATGGCAGTATTTGGTTGTAACCTGGTCATTCAGATACTCCTGAATATTCATGAATCACTGATAGGTTTATCACTTCTATTTCTGCAGAGAAGAAATTGAGGCTCTAGGACACAAATTTGTAAACTATATAAAAAATCTTTTATTTTATAATATATTTATATGTACCACGCTAGATAGGGTATGTTTAGTGTGAATACACACCTATAGGGGTTTATATAAACCTCTCCTTCATGTACATATTCATATATACACATATACGTACTTGTATTCATGTATATATTCATGTACGTATGTACATATGCAAAGCAAATATAAACTCCTTATCCTTACATTTTTTCTCTTAAGTGTTAAAATTAGAAAACATGGTGCCTGAAACTATCATACAATACCTTCTTTCTCACTTCGCTAGCAGTATAGTATGCCTTTTCCTTCTAAAAAGTATCAGAAATGCGTGCCGGTGAATGTTAATGACCTAGCAGTATGCAAGTGGGACTTAAGTCAGCAAAAGATATGAAGAAGGAGGGAGAAAAAATTCTTAGTACGGCAGGATTTTCACAAACAGGAGTGAGCATAAATGAGGAGGATGCAGCGATAAGCAAGAGGGCTCAGAGCTGCGAATGATAACCGAAGCAGGGCAGGTCCCAGTCCTGCTGTTTGCTCCACAGGCAGCTGTCTCTGATCAGGAAAGGAAGAAAATGAAGCGCAAAGGAGACCGGTATTCTATGCAGACTTCTCTGATCGTAGCTGCGCTAAAGAGGTTACTGCCCATTGGGCTGAACATCTGTGCCCCCGGGGACCAGGAGCTCATCGCTCTGGCCAAAAATCGATTTAGTCTGGTAAGTGTCCTTCTCACCCTAGTAATGGGATCATCTGTCTTCCAGATGCCTCTGTGTTCCCACTCTTCGGGCTTGATGCTCTGTGTCAGTATTCCCTTTGCATTAAATATCTCGGGGAACAGTGTTTCTGCACAAGCCATGTGATTTAAAGATTGTCTTTTTTGAGACTTTTTATTTCTAAATTATTTTAATGACCTCGATGACATATTGAAAAGCCAAACAGAAAAAAAATGGATTTCATATGGAGTCCTATATAAAATTAATGAGGGGCCGGGGATTTAGCTCAGTGGTTCTGCCGCCTGCCTTGCACGCGCAAGGTCCTGAGTTCGGTCCCCGGTCCCCCAAAATAATAAATAAATAAATAGTTAATGAGAAGTATACTCAAATTTGTGAAAGTGATTTTTCGTGTTAGAAGCATAACACATTGTACTAAAGGTGGTGCAGTGAGATAAGGTGTTCACTTTTACATCAGCAGACGCTCCTGTGAGAGCGTCAAGATTTAAAGTCTCTAGATTCCTTTTGTCCCCCGGTGGTCTTCTTTTTAGCGATGCAGGTAAAGATGCAGACTTTGAAAATAGCCACTGAAATTACTATTGTATATTTGTGCAAATTGGGAGACATATTTTGTCACAGTTCCCGCAAAGAATCAATGAAGCACCTCTCTGTGTATCCCAAATTGAGTCTCAATGTGTGAATGGAAGGGAGGTTTTGGCTTAGTGGCCTCCACCGATGCAGCCGTGCTGGCAGCTGCCTGATGTCCGAGTCTCAGATGCACACCTCCTCCCACTGCTAGTTCATGGAGGAAGGTGTTAAGTGGTCATATTATTTTGTGGGTGTTTGGGGAAACTGTGGATGCTCTTCTGTCTGAGCCCAAGGGAACATATCTCTGTTCCCTTCTTGCTGGGAATTGGGAACGTGGTTCTACTGAGTCAAGTTAGGCTTCCCCTGGAGTTAAGTAGACTGTTGCCTTGAATCAAGCTACAGCAGTACCAATAAATTATCCGAAGGAAATTTCCCCAAATTCTTGGCATTTTGATCAAGATGTTAGATAGACATACACTATATGAAAGGATGTTTGAGTTGTTCTGTTGATAGTTGATGCACTCTAAGACTTCTTTTAGGTAACATATATTTCTTGACAGAAAGACACTGAGGATGAAGTTCGAGATATAATCCGCAGTAATATTCATTTACAAGGCAAGGTAAGCTAGATTTTATTCTAAAATGCTTTTAGTATCTGTCTTTAGAATGATAACAAAAATAAAATTACATTAACAATTAAGGGAGTGAAATATTTTAACCAGGGATGTAGCTCAGTGGTTCTGCCTCCTTCCTCACAAGCGCAAGGACCAGAGTTCGATCCCCAGTACAGAAAAAAAAAAAAGCCTCTTATAGTAATAAATGATATATTCTTAAAGTAGACCATCAGAAATTGTCAGATTTTGAGAAACATGTGTTGCCAATTGAAGTAAAGATTGAATATAGAGTTTGTATTGCTGAGTTTTGAAGTTTTTTGAACATAGAAGTAACCCTAAGGAATTGAAATTTCACATCTAGTAGTTAGAAATTAGTGTACAAAAGATACTCAGAATTTCTGCCTTAAGAATAAATAGTTTAGAGCTGGGGTATAGCTCAGTGGTGCTATCACCTGCCTCGCAAGTGCAAGGTCCTGAATTGGATCCCCAGTACCAAACAGACAAAACAAAAAAGAATAAATAGTTTAAGGATAGGAATATTCATTGAGAAGGAAAACATGGAGAGAAAGCAATAGAACATATACTTTATAATGACAGATGAAAAAATTATCAGAAGTAATTTTTATAATTTTTTTCATTCCAGTGAGTATTCATTTGTTTACCAACCCTATTATGCCTTTTAAGAATTGTATTATTTGGATTCAGTCTGTTTGTTTTTATTCTGGTGTCACTTCTGAGGAATATTTTTAAATTATGAAAATGGCTGCATATCAAATGGTAGTAACAGCAATATAATTATGGTTTAATGTATTGAAATGTCTCTTTCCAGGGGTATCTGCCATATTTTTCGTTTAGCACTTCGCAGAAGTGTCCCTTTACAAGTTGCATATGGCAACAAATGCAAATTTGAGAACAAATTCCAAGTGAACACACATTGAATTTCACTTGGTACAAACTCAGTCATAATTTACCATAGTAACAACTTTTGCAGAGTAGGAGATGAATGCCTATTAGAACATGATCTCCTTTTGTACAGAAAAAGAGATATTGAACGCTATAAAACCTATTCATAAAGCCTCTAAATAGAGGCTTAAGAGTGTATACTACAAGCTTTTCTTCCATTGGCTGGGAGACACTATTTTAGCACACACCCCTGGGTGTTTGAGGACATCATGTATTCTGAGAGTTTCCTGATAACTGAAGACCGCAGTTGGAGGGATGCTGGTGTAGTACCACCACTGATGGGAGGTAGGGACTATTTTGTGACTCTGAAGAAGGGGTTGGTACTTATCTGGAAGCATTTCTAATCAACCTTTCAGTTCCAAATAAGTGAGAACTGAAAATATACAGGAAGTGAATATATACTTATTTTAATGTTTATTGTATACTTTCCAATGCTATGAATAAGGCACGTGTATCACGGATATATACAAGCTTCCAAAAATATTTATATATTTTTTGTTTCTACGGCCTATTGAAGACATTGCCTTGAAGTTGTAGGGCCAATAATTTTGAGGCCAGAGGAATAATTTTATATTGAAAAAATAAGCACTTCACCCCACGAAATATGCTTATTTATTAAATTCATGTCATAATGTCAATCAAAATCCAGAAGTGTACCAAGCATAGTCTCAGCTGAAAAAACTGTAGGGAGGAAAGCATTTTGTCAAGGGACACATGGTATTTTCTAGTCATGCATGTACAAACCTATCTGTAGGTTTGCCTCTAGATTAAAATTACTTTTAATGTTTCAGACTATTTCTTAGGCTAGGACTCTGCAAGTTTTTAAATGTCACCCATTCATTTCTGCTTTATAGTACTTAGTCTCTCCTTTTTAATGGAAAGTCCAAAGTAGAAGAGAAAGAGAAGACTGTTTTTCCTATTTTTAATGACACAACTATTCTTTTTTATTTCTTTGAAGTAACATGCTTTATCTCATTATGATGTACACTTTTTGTGATTTATAATAAACCTGTCTAAAAAGCATGAAGGCCTCCGTTGTAACTTTTACTTAGGAGATTCGGCAGTATTGACCATGAAAACTTGTGGACTCCTTAATGTTGAGTATAGTATTTATAAAGCTCCATTGATTATATTATTTAAAACCGTTGTAACAGTAAGACTAACCTGTTTTATGCTCCCTGTATTTATAGCTATGAAGTGTGACGAGATTATATGGTAAAGGTTCAGATTTTAAACATATGCTATGGTAAAGCGTATTACCGTTAACCCCTCTGAAAACGCTGCCCGCTCTTTGAACACATCCCATCATTCCTGCCTCTGTGAAGCAGTAGTGGAAGTCCTCTTTCCTGAGCGTCTGTAATTGTGCAGTTGTAGATGCCTTGCTGTTCTGATTTGATTCAAAGCATTTGCTTCTCTTGGTCATTTTGACTGGGAAGGAGTCAGAAGTCCCACGGCGTCAGGTACGGTGAGTAACATGGATGTGCACACACTGTCATAGCCTGACTTTACACTGGGTAGCGCTCGGCAGTAGCACTCACCATTCATCACACCTTAGGAGAGCAGTCAGGAAAGAGGACTTCTAGAACTACTTTAACAAGTGCAAAGACGATGGGATAAGTGTATCCAAGAACCTTGTAAATGTGATCCCGTTCATTGCTTGTAAAATTAAACATGAGCCTTCAACAATGTAAATGGGGAAGAGAAAGAGGAAAGGTTGCCTCATCCCTTCCTTGCTCTATCTCCGTCTCATCCTTAAGCCCTTGTTACAGCTTTACTTGTTCGGGGAAATGTTCCCCCCTACCCACAAAGTAGGCTGTATTTCATATGCCTTATATCTTTTCTGGTAGCCCTCATTACAATTGCAAATATTCATCTAAAATCTTTCTTCCCTACTAGGTGATGAATTCCAGAACTACAAGGGCTTTATCTGCCTAGTGTTTTTTTTTATTTCCAGTTGTATGTATTTAAGATATACAGCATGTTTTGCTATGCATAGTGAAATGATTACTGTAGTCAAGCACATTACCATATCAATTTCCTCACATATTTATCCTTTTCTGTAATTTGCTAAGCAATCTACTTCCAGCAAGTTTCTGAAATACGGTACAGTGTTATTGTGGTTATCGTGCTCTACGTTAGATCTCTGGACTCCATCATTCTACATATCCTCAGTGTTTCAACGTTGTGCTATGCTTGATAAATAATAGTAGGTGTACCCTTTGCTCGGTTGTTGTTTTGTATTTTATCCACATTTTTTCTTTTTTCTGCAGTTGGAGGATCCTGCTATTCGATGGCAAATGGCCCTTTACAAAGACTTGCCAAACAGGACAGAAGATACCTCAGACCCAGAAAGGACAGTAGAAAGAGTACTGGATATAGCAAATGTGCTTTTTCATCTTGAGCAGGTCAGACTTTGTGCTAATTCAATCGCGTTTGCCTTAACAATGCACAGATATTTTGAAAAGACAATGCTAATTTGTTAACTAAAGGCCAAAAAAGTGTATATTCGGTATCTTCCTTATAAAGAATGAGTACTACTTATTGGAGTATTTAGTATCCAATGAATAAAATTCCAAGCATATAATTATTGTAATAATGTATAAATAAAGCATTTTAGGAGATTAAGACCTTTTTATTGTCTTTTATAAAACCTTTCTAAAATTATACTGATAATTTGGATTATAGATCTAATTCTAAATCCTTTTAAAAAATATTTAGAGGTTACAAATGATTTTAAGTGTATTATGAATATGTCATTTTTTATTACTGCTACTAACATGTTTGAGATATTGAAGTGTCTTCATTTTTGTTGGTTAAACTTCCTTTTTTTTAGAGATATATTTGAGCTAGTTTGCTGAGATCAAGAAAAATTTTATTACAGAAGAACGATTTATTGATATTAAAACCTCAAATGAGATTTTTCAGTTGTCTGCTATTCAACACCGCGAAGCTGTTTTCTCATTAACTCCCTTTGCTCAAGCATTTCTAAAGCAATAATATGTGAAACATCTTCAATGAAAATGTTATTTTTTTCCAGGAATGATGCTCTGTCTTAGATAACATATGTGCAACCAGAGACAAACCTCTTTTTCATGAAGTCCCCTAGAGTGGGGAATGTAACGTGTGGTTCACAGAGTGGCCTGCTATTCAGCTTCTGTGACAGTACGTGCAGGAGTGATTACCCTGAACATTAAGTAATAGAATGCCTACTGTCATCCCAGACATTTTACCACTTAAGTGAATTGAGTAATGTATTTTTAACTTTGTGTCACCTTTAGCCATTTTTGGACATATTGCATAATAATAAACACGTTGCCTCAGTTCCTGCTTTTTATTGTCTGAACTTCAACCTCTGCCTTGATGGTCAAATAACATAAGAATATTATCTAGGGACAGGGATGTAGCTCAGTGGTTCCTCCACCTGCTTCAGGAGCACAAGGTCCCGAGTTCAATCCCCCCTACCAAAAAAAAAAAAAAAAAAAAT